CGATACAGAGCTTCATTGGAAGAACTAAAAGCAGATTCGGAAACCCCATTTAAAGCTCTATCAAATAGGATAGCTGGATTTAGCCTCAAGTACGAATATAATATAGATGAGTAGCCGAATAGATCTATATAATATAGATGAGTAGCCGAATAGATCTATATAATATAGATGAGTAGCCGAATAGATCCAGGGTTGATTCTAGAGTCAATAAAAGCCAAGTCAAGGAAAGCTAATCATGGCATAGTTATGGCTTTGTTTCTTTTTTGATTACTGATAATCGATTATCGATTAAAATCTTTGAGTAGACTCACCATCAACTCCTCGACATATTGCTGCTCTGTGTAGTAAAAATAAATCCCAGCTCCTAACACACAAAGCAACGATAGAAACACTAATAATGTGAAAATCTGAAAATCTGAATTGAGATTTAGCAATGAAATTAAACCGAATAGAAATATTTAAGCGTTTTCTGCAATTCAAACGGCGCCAAGACGGTGACTCGATGAAAATACGTGGTCATTAGGAAAAGAAAGGAGAGACCGAAAAAGAAAGCGGAGAAAGCCTGAACAGAGATTCGATTGAACACTATTGACCAAGGAAAACTATTGACTTGTCTAATATTCTTATATCAAATAAACAAAGACAAAATGAGTCTGATTTTAAAGTAAATTCACTCACAAATATCAGAAAAATCGCTTCTTTGGTGAGTGCCCAGCCGGAGATCGAATAAATGGACAATGGAACGGTGAAGACCGGACGGAGAATGAAAAAGCCCAGAGCAAAGAGGAAAGATGAGATCTGGAACTGGAATTGTGAGCCTTGTTGTTGTTTTGTTTGGTTTTGGATTGTTCAGACTTTCAATCCTAAACTAGGACAGTCCAAAGCCTTTGAATTATGGCCGTAATTCGTTTGGATTAACTTAAACTTTCTCAAAATTACTAAACTGGCTAGGGCAACTAGTTTACTTTGGCTTGATGCAGGCTAGGTTAGGCTAGGCATAACCAGCTTTGACTATGGCTGGATCAGCTCAACTCAAGTAAAGCGAGGTTAAACCAAATGTTGTAATCTAGAGCTGCTGAGTAAAGTTTTGAGTTTTCAAAAGGAATGCAACCTCTATGTCCACCCGGAGATCGAACCTCGGGAGCCCAAAACCGTTCGCTTTCCACACAAAAGCTCTACCATTGAGCTATAGGCTCACAAGAGAGCCCATTCCAAAAGGCTCATAACAGCGGCGGTGATCGGGACTCACCATGAATATCCCTCTTGAAAGCAGCCGGTTAAAGCTGGATCAGCTTTAGCCAGATGAAACTAAGCTAGCTAGATCCAGCTGCACCCTTTCCACTCACCACAATAGCCAATTGCAGCCTCTTGAAGACTTTGAGATAATCGGGAGTCGGTAGAATGAGAAGAAAAATCGTGAATGGGCTAATGATTAGGTCGACGGTTCCAATGAGGGAATAGATAGAATTAAGCAAATTTCGATCACTTAACGTTGGGATAAACATTTGCAAATATTTGTATGTAAGGGAAATCTTTGATGTTCATTTCACCACATTCCAGGTGTTCAAAAGAAAATGAGGAAAGGTGAAAATTTGGATAGAATCTTTCCCCCATCAACAAAAGCTAATGAATGAGCAATTGGATGTGGAAAGAGTCAAAGATTAGACCGCACAAAATGTTATTGTATTGCTGTTTTGCTTAACCAAGGTACACTTACAGTAAACTGTTCTGTTCTCAAATCTACAGTAACTCTGGCCACATTTTCGTCGATTAATTCATGTGACACTTTGACTACCGTATTTTCTCTAATTGTAGTGCACCCCAGCGAGCCGAGTTGATGACTATTTTACGGTTTCCAAGCTTTTGCAGAAGCCAAAGGGTCTAAAGTCCAAAGTCCAAAGTCCAAAGCGGCATACCAGTCTTTCAATTTTCAATTTAGAAGCTACAGTTTAAAGTCACAATTACTGGGATTTTACAGGTTTCCTGTAAAAAAACCTAGGCGATCTTCATTTACCGTATTATCTTTAATCGCAGTGCATCCCGCCAAGCCCGCGAAGTGCATCCCGCCGAGTTGATGACTATTTTACGGTTTCCAAGCTTTGGCAGAAGCTCAAAAATCTAATCCCCCACAAGATCTCATCGTCAGCTACATTTTCCGACCCCACATCGATAGGTTCTGATAAGCGGTTCTCGAGATTTCGAGCAATTTAGGCGACGCTCAGGGTGTTCAGGGTAGTCAATTCACAAGTATGACCAGACTGGCTTTAACCAAAAGAAGATTTACTCCAACATAGATATAGTAATGCTTATCAAATTTTGTAAACTAGAAGTAATTTTTGATTTCAAAGAGATTTTTATAGTGCACCGCTTTAATTTCTTCACATTTGTGGGCATTTTTTTTTCTCTCTTCTCAAACATTTTCTTACAACAATCTACAGTAACTCTATAAGAAGATTCATCCAAATTAGAGATGAAGCATAGAAGAGTTCTAGAGAACAGAATTTTGGCGAAGAACTATAAGCTCATGATTTCAATGCCAAACACTACTTTTGTTTCTACAAAAGAAAAAATGTTTGCTTTGAAGGTAGTGAACGCAGTCTATCCGATTTTTTAAATTTCCCAAATGTCTCCACGTTCCCGTTCACCGTTCACCTGTGGGTGGAGAGAAAGAGAAAGAAAACTTAATACTTTATTAAATACGTGATTTTTCTATTCAAAATATCTACGATTGCTGGAAACTTATGAGCTGGAAATAATACCGTAAATATTGTAATAGTACCCCACCGCCCTCGTACAGTCGGATGCTCGCAAAAGTTTTTTAGTATTTCATTTTTTTCAAAGCGCCCGTACTTTCAAAAAAATGCGTCTTTGGTATCAAAAAATAGCTGAAATTCAGGGCTATTTTTTGATACCAAAACGCGCATTGTAGCATAAACCAGTGTCGAGAAAAGCCCGTTCAATGCTAGACTACGCAATTTCCATTATTGTCTACAGAATTGAGCTAAAAAGGAATATCCTAGCTGGGTCTGTAGAGTCTGTAAGCGAAGTCAGCTCTAAAGCAGGTCAGAGGTCTAGGTCAGAGAGCCAACGCCGATCCAGTGCTTTTGTGGTGTGAGCCAAATTGAGCCAGGAGAAGGCTGGCTTCTGAGCAGGTATATCCAGCTAGATCTCAGTGCTTATAAGCTAAATTAGAGCTAGGGTAGAGCCAGGTTAACCTACCGTAAATACTGTAATAGTACCCAATCCCCCTCGTACAGTCGCGTAGTCGCAAAAGTTTTTTAGTATTTCATTTTTTTCAAAGCGCCCGTACTTTCAAAAAAATGCGTCTTTGGTATCAAAAATAGCTGAAATTCAGGGCTATTTTTTGATACTAAAGTGCGCATTGTAGCATAAACCAGTGTCGAGAAAAACTCGTTTTTTCGGGATGGTTGCGTAGTCTAACTTTAAACATCCCGTTCTCCGCGCTGCTTTATGCTACAATGCATGTTTTGGTATCAAAAAATAGCTGAAATTCAGGGCTATTTTTTGATATATGTTGTAGCATTGTAGCATCAGCCAGTGTCGAGAAAAACTCGTTCAAAGCTAGACTACGCAACACTCCGCACCGTCATTACGGGGGTGGGCTACTATTACAGTATTTACGGTATGTCTTTAAAGAAATAGAAACCTCTTGTATTACTTCCTTTTAGCCACCTTCTCCATCAACTTTTGCACGCTTTGCCCAATTTAAACCACTCGCAATTTTGCCAGATCATTTCCCTTCCCAACCATTTCTCCTAGTGTACATCATTGCGCACGTCCAACATCAAACACTTGATCTCTTGCTATACTCGAAGAGAATCTTTTCCAGCTTCAGATTTTCGCTGTTGAATGTTGAAGCGAGTTGCATAGGCACACTTTTGTCAATCGCTGTTTCACGTAGTCCAATAATTTAACATGAGCAACAGGAATCGGCTAAAGAAAAAGGATTTAATTCAAATTTTTACAAACAGTACATTTAAGATTAAAAACAACAATATTCTACTATATATAAAGAAACTAAAATGTCTGTTTGTGCTCTGTCTGTGCGTATTACTCCTCCGCGCCTAGTGAGCGCCGAGGAGTAGTGCAGCAAATGATTTATAGTTATAGTATTACGTCTGAAATTTACGAATGCAACAATGCCTAGAGTTTTTTGAGAAAAAGGTAGCGAATTATTACGAATATAGGAAATTTTAGATCTTTCATTTTAGATGTTTCGCTCAACAACAAGCTTCAGCTTTTCAGCCGCTTCAGCTTTTCAGCCGCTTCAGCTTTTCAGCCGCTTCAGCTTTTCAACCGCTTCAGCTTTTCAACCGCTTCAGCTTTTCAACCGCTTCAGCTTTTCAACCGCTTCAGCTTTTCAACCGCTTCAGCTTTTCAACCGCTTCAGCTTTTCAAGACAATTCAATGTGGATTCAATGCGTTCGTATGCTAGTAGACTGCTTTTGCTCGTGCGCTTTGCCCAATTTAAACCACTCGCAATTTTGCTAGATCATTTCCCTTCTCAACCATTTCACCTGGTGTACATTATTCAACAAACGTTCACTTGAACGTCCAACATCAAACCCTTGATCTCTTGCTATACTCGAAGAGAATTTCTTATGAAAATCTCTGCTTTTTTTCCATAATTTAACCTTTAATCCTTCGAGTTTAAGAGATTTTTAAATGCTTCAACATTGATAAATACATTGAAAAACTAGATTCAAACTATTCTAGCAACACTGATCACATTTCAAAAAATCAAACCGCAAAAAAAAACTCAAAACTCAACTCTTATCATCTCATTTCGTTTTTATGGTTTGGCCTGTAGGGGTGTGAACTTTTTTTCCAAAGAAAAATCGCCATTGCCTCCATCAAAGCAGAGAGTTTTATGGGTAAAACCTCGAAATGCGGAACATATGATAAGCCGACTTTCGACCCGCATAAAAGCTTTTGAGTGATCCAAGAAATTCTATTGAACTTCCCAGCACCCTTCTCGAATGCTCGGCTTCACAGTAATCCTCGCTCTCGTGGGAACAGTCTCCGCTGCATGCACTGGATCCACTTGTGAAACATGCTCGTTCAGTTCGGGATGCGGGTGAGAAAAGAAAATGAATGCTGAAGGCTATTTGTAAAAAAAGCTATGGTTTAGTCTTGCTTCAGTTGCTTGGTCTAGCCTTGCTTCAGTTGCTTGGTCTAGCCTTGCTTCAGTTGCTCGGTTTAGCCTTGCTTCAGTTGCTTGGTTTAGCCTAGAAATGCTTCAGTAACAATGTCAAGTTTCTGTTGAAGCTTGACTCACTTTTGTTCAATCAAATATCTTTTGGTCTTTATTTAAGCCAAGTGCTAATGATTCGAAGGATTTTTTCTAAAAGACACCTATTTTAAAAGAACTTTCGTAAATAAAAAGCCAGTTTTCATGGCTGTTTTCATGGCTGTTTTTATGACTGTTTACTTACGGTTTTCATGGCAAACAAGCTATGGTTTAGCCTTGAAATGCTTCAGTAACAATGTCAAGTTTCTGTTGGCTTGACTCACTATTGGGTACTTGTCGGTTATACATCCACAGAGACTCATCTAGGTTAAGCAAGAAGCTGACAACTTGTGAGGAGTGATTATGTTCAGTGATTATGTTCATTGATTATATTTAAAAGAACTTTCGTAAGTAAAAAGTCAGTTTTCATGCAAAAAGCTCATCTTTGCTGTTGTTGGATGAGCCTCGTGGTTTCTCATCGGTTAATATTAAAAACTGAAAACTGAATGAAAACTGACTGCTTGATTATAGAATTGAATCAATGCATATGAAATGGCTAAATTTTTGCGCTGTTGAAGTCCTTTATGAGGCCTAAGAGCTATGAGGATTGTTTACACAAAAGTGCTCTCATTGTTACACAAAATATTTAGATTGATTTGATGGTTAGTCACGAATAAATGCTTTTGTTGAACATTTAGTCATTGAAAATGCATTGATAGAAGAATAAGTTGCATTCGAGAATAAGTTTCTTTTAGAAAATGCATCACTCAAAGAGAGTCCATTCTATTAATGATCGGCTTTGATTGTTTTGAGGAAATTGAATCTAGAAACTGGTAAAACTGATAAATTTGATAAATTCATATTTGTTCAATGTGTAGACCTTCCTTTATAACGGTATCTTTTACAAAAATCACTATTTTAGATGGAATGGCGCTCAGTGTGTGTCGTCCGGTCTTCTGAACCTGAATTGCGGAAACGCTGGCTGGGTTCGTGAGCTCGGAATTTGTTGCACTCAATTACAAGATGGCTTCCTCTTACAAGATCTCTTACAAGATCCACTTACAAGATCGCTCCCCTTGCGCACAAACTTGTCCAGGGAGAAAGAGCCGAACCAGGACCTTTTTGACATTGTGACAAACAGTTCAGCATTGTAACAAACAGACCAGCATTGTAACCAACAGTCCAGCATTGTGACAAACAGGCTAGCATTGTGACAAACAGGCTAGCATTGTGACAAACAGTCCAGCATTGTGACAAACAGACCAGCATTGTGACCGAGTCGCTCGAAAGGGTGAAATAAGTGTAGAAGAATAAGATAATAAGATAATCAGATAATAAGCGAAACAACAAGTCTTTTGTTTGTAGTATTTACAACTCAATACTTTAGTATACTTTAGCCTACTTTAGTATTATGTCATTAAACTTATTTACTGAATTTAAATAACATTTCACTTTTTTCCCTATTACTGTTCTTTTTTGTTTCTGAAAAGAGTTTAAGTAAACAGCAAAATTAAGAAACTGATTTTAATCTAAACACGTTTACAGACTTGCCATGATGCCTACGCTTGTCCAGGTACTCCACCCGCCTACAACGAGAGCTTCGCCCGGAATCAGCTCTGGAGATTGCATGCAGCTCAAGCTCAAAATGTACCCACAGATATTGGGGTGAATGAACAGAAATTTCTTTTTATTAATGTTTGATTGTTTTAGTTCATCGGCTGTATGGAAGCAGCTGACGCGTCAGCCGTTTTCCTTGGGCGTGTCCAAGTCACATGCGGATTCCCGGTACCGTTTTAGGTTCTCGTTTGAATCTTGTGCCACATAACATCCGAGACTTGCGAATCTAGCGATGAACGTTAGGCTTAGGCTTAGGCTTAGGCTTAGGCTTAGGCTCAGGCTTGGACTTAGTGCGTAGGCTAGCGGCTAGCGCCTAGCACTAAGTCTATTTGGGTTTGGGCTACACCCCCAATTTCCGGATCTCAGCCAGTTCTCGGAGTTAAGCTTAGGCTTAGGCTTTTAGGCTTAGGCTTAGGCTTAGGCTTGGACTAAGTACAAAGGCTAGCGGCTAGCGCCTAGCACTAAATCTATTTGGGTTTGGGCTAAACCCCCATTTTCTGGATCTCAGTCAGTTTAGGCTTAGGAACGCATTATTTAGCGTAGATCACTAGATCTTATCTATCTAGCGATTATCTAGCCGATCTAGTGCCCCTACTTACAAATCTTAAACTCTTTTAGCGAACTGTGAGCAGTGTAAAAAGAAAACGAAAGAAAAATGAAACCCTTTTTACAGCTTCCCACTGATTCATGCACTACGGATGTTTTCGCATTGCCCGCCTCAAACGCCATTGTTGCCACAACTCTCGGAACAGCCGTAAACTCCACACAAGTCAGACAGGAGAACTTTTTTTTATCAGCATAGATACATTTTAGTCTATTAAAATAATGGCCTTTTAAAGATATTCTCATTTTTCAGCTTATCAACGCACTCATTGCTCTAACCATTCCGCTCACCACCAACGGGGTCAGCTTACCTTTTTCTTTATAATTATAATTTTCTTTTTCTTCAGGTTATCATCTATTGGGATAACGCTAACTCGTTGTTATGGCCTGGTGTGGAAACAATTCTTTCAAGCGCCTTTGCCCCCTCATCACCTTATGCAGGATACAATGTAAGTAACAGGAACTTAGAAGTAACTTAGAAGTAACTTCAGTCCATCATCATTAGAACTAACTTCAGTCCTCATTTTTTCCTAAGTTTTATCAAAACATATCAAATCCACAAAATAACTTTAAACTTTAGCTGGTTCTCTCCGGCCACTCGATCGGTGCAGCGGTTGCCGTGCTTATGGCGGGAGAGGTTTGTGTATTATATTTATCGAAAATGATTGATTCGTGTTTCCTTACAATCTTTCAACTTTATTGTAGGCGGCCCAGGCAAGCTGGCTTCCATCAACTGCCCAAGTGTCGTCGATCACTTTTGGTGAGCCCCGAATTGGCAACTATGCTTTTCTCGACTCGAACTTTGCTGTGGTTAGTGTTTTTTTGAATTACCAATGTCAGATTCATCGTTAATGACTAAATGAAAATGACCTTTTAGGCACCAAATCATTTGCGAATCATCAATCAAAACGACGTGATCACTACTCTTCCCCTCGCGGGACTTGGCGTCTTCCACACTAAGTATCCGGTAGTTTAGATAGACAATTTAGATAGGAAAGTGTTTTTAGGTTCAATACAAGAATGGAATGACTTCAGCATTCCTCGGCACTCAAACCATCTGCAATACTTATGAGGATTCGAGTGAGTTTCCATTGAGCTTTAGTAGTCAATAAAACAGTCAAAACTTGAACGTCAAAACTAGAAAACACAAATTTCAATAGAGAACTTTCTTAACGAGTTTGTAAGCTTTTAAATCTTTAAAAATGGTCAGATTGTGCGGCAAACACGTTGAGCGGAATCCCGGGCCTTTCTCCCGACTATCACAACGTGTATTTCGGCACTCCCTCCTATCCAACATGGCGTGCCACCAATTGCTCATATGCGGGAATTTGAGTGTTTGAAGATTCAAGACAAAAACATAAAAAAATTCACAATCTTAATAACTGCTAATAAATTCTTTGTTTTACTTCTGATAAAATCGCAAGTTGAGCGGAATCTCGAGTAAGGCCTCGAGTGAGTTTTGCTTTAGTGGCCAATAAAGCATTAAGCTCTAGTGGCCAATAAAAGCGTCACCCGTTTTCCTCGGGCGTGTCCAAGTCAAATGCGGATTCCCGGTAATGTTTTGGGTTCTCGTTTGGATCTTGTGGCACATAACATCTGAGATTTTTAGGCTTAGGCTTAGGCTCAGGCTCAGGCTTAGGCTTAGGCTTAGGCTCAGGCTTAGGCTTAGGCCTAGGCTCAGGCTCAGGATCGTTTGGATCTTATGGCACATATTTTTCATATAACATCTGAGATTTGCGAATTTAATCTATCTAGTTCCCCCCGACCTACAAATCTTAACTCTTTGAGCAAACTGTGAGCAGTGTAAAACGAAATAAAAATTCAATACAGGGTGCGCTCCATTTTGCCTCCATTTGCTTTATTTTTATGCGCTTTTGAGTTGACTATCTTTGCTACTTTATATTTATTATGCAAATTTTGACTTTTAAAAATGGTAGCTACTCTTTAAATGTTATGTTATGTGAAAAATATGTGCCACAAGATCCAAACGAGAACCCAAAACGTTACCGTGAATCCGCATTTGACTTGGACACGCCCGAGGAAAACGGGTGACGCTTTTATTGGCCCCTAAAGCTTAATGGAAACTCACTCAAAGCCTCATAAGTATTGCAGTTTGATTGCCGAGGAATGCTGAAGTGATTCCATTCTTGTATTGAACCTAAAAACACTTTTCATTCAATCCTATCTAAACTGTCTATCTAAACTACCGGATACTTGGTGTGGAAGACGCCAAGTGAGACGGGAAGAGTAGTGATCACGTCGTTTTAGTTAGACGGGAAGAGTAGTGATCCTGTATTGAATTTTTATTAAATTTCGATTAAATTTCTATTAAATTTCGATTAAATTTCTATTAAACTCTATCAAATGCTATTCTAGAATGTTTGAAAATTCTCTAATTCTCTAATCACAATGAACAAGAAAATACTTTCCATTTTCTGTTTGATTTTTCGATACTCAAACAGCATTTTGAGGTTTTGAAATCTTTGAAAAATCACCTGCTTCTCTTGTCTTGTCTTTTGTGATGAAAATTGAGCACTAATTGAAAATTGAGCACTTCATCACTTCAAATCAATAAATGGAAATCGTCTACGAGGAACCAAACGGCTACTTATTAGCCCTAAAAATCACGGGAATTTTCGCAACATCATTCAACCTTTACACAATCTACTTAATCGTTTGCGTTTCACCAATTTCGATGAAAAACTATCGATATGTGATTTTATTTTATCAGGTAACCATTTATTTTCAATCATAAATCGTTTTCAATCGTTTCAATCGTTTCAATCGTTTCAATCGTTTCAATCGTTTCAATCGTTTCAATCGTTTTCAGATTCAATCAACGCTTCTTGAGCTTTTCTTGCATTGTATTGCTGTCGAGTTCTTCTTTCCAACAATCAGTGTACGCTTTTATGGCATCACGTACACATGGTTTCAATGGAGTGCCACAACACATTATGTAAAAGAGATCTTTGTATAATTATAAACAAACGAGTTTCTTGTTTGTAAACGATTTCGAAATAGAAAGCGAAGGCTTTCAAAAGACAATTGAATCGGATTTGATAAGTTTATTTGGATTTAGACATAGGGATGCACTACTGTAAATACTGTAATAGTACCCCACCTCCCTCGTACAGTCGCGTAGTCCCAAAAGTTTTTTAGTATTTCATTTTTTTCAAAGCTCCCGTACTTTCAAGAAATGCATCTTTGGTATCAAAAAATAGCCCTGAATTTCAGCTATTTTTTGATATATGTTGTAGCATTGTAGCATCAACCAGTGTCGAGAAAAGCCCGTTCAAAGCTAGGCTACGCAACACTCCGCACCGTCATTATGGGGGTGGGCTACTATTACAGTATTTACGGTAGGTCATGGTGGCCTTTTAATACAAAAGGCTTTATAGAATCGTCCATGCTGATTCTGAATATGCTTTTACTTTTTCCAATTGAGCTCTGTATATGGCATCAAAGTTTTGGCTGATTTTTGGAATCCTTAGAAGCTTTTTCTCTTCCTAAAAAGAGTGCTAGTGGCGCAGTGAGTAGTGTGCTCGTCTCCAGAATTCTCCTCGAGTTTAAGCTCGGGTTCGAGTTCGATCCCGTTATGCAATTCGCTCCCTTTTTGCTTTTTTTTGAGAAAATGATTAGATGGTTTTAAAGGTTTTAAAGAGAGTGCTAGTGGCGCAGTGGATAGTGTGCTCGTCTCCAGAATCTCTTGCCCGGGTTCGCATTAGCTTTCAGTATTCTCTCTGCTTTTGTTGAGAAAATCAAAATTGAATTCTACTATTTTATGAAATTCAATTCAATTTCATTCAATTCCATTCAATTCCACTATTTTGCAGAAGCAATTCGTGAAATCGTGAACAATCTTCCACCAACAACAAACCACATTTATTAATAAAGCATTTATCCTCCTAAATCATTTCTAGACATTTCTTTCGTTAATTAAAGACAAAATAAACATTTTCGAATCATTTTCTCAAAAAAAAAGCAAAAAGGGAGCGAATTGCATACCGGGATCGAACTCGAACCCGAGCTTGAACTCGAAGAGAATTCTGGAGACGAGCACACTACTCACTGCGCCACTAGCACTCTTTTTAGGAAGAGAAAAAGCTTCTAAGGATTCCAAAAATCGGCCAAAACTTTGATGCCATATACAGAGCTCAATTGGAAAAAGTAAAAGCATATTCGGAATCAGCATAGCCGACTCTATAAAGCCTTTTTTATTGCCTTTGTAAGGCTGGTCATAGTAGCCTTTTGTAAGGCTAGTCATAGTAGCCTTTTGTAAGGCTGGTCATAGTAGCCTTTTGTAAGGCTAGTCATAGTAGCCTTTTGTAAGGCCACTGTGACCTAGTGCCTCTGGAATTCAATCCGTAAAATGGAATTGAATTGAATTCCATAAAATAGTAGAATTCAATTTAGATTTTCTAATGATTTTCTCAACAAAAGCAGAGAGAATACTGAAAGCGAATTCGAACCCGGGCAAGAGATTCTGGAGACGAGCACACTATCCACTGCGCCACTAGCTCTCTCTCTTTAAAACCTTCAAAACCTATTTATCGTATAGTTTTGCCATTACACTAAGAGATTTTCTAGATAATCATCTTGCATCTGATCATCACGATGGCTATAGGCGTTGCTATGTGTTTCCTCTATCGACATCGATTACTTCTTTCCAAAGGTCATTGGCTAAGGCAAAAACAAAAGAATATAATAGAAAACTGAAACGTTTATTTAAACAGATTCAACGTTCACACATGGGCGATCATTTGTTTAACCCATTTTTTTCTTTGGTTTTCATTTTGTTCCTTTTCCATTGTTGGACTCCACCTTGAACAGCCGCCAAAAGCAACCGGGATTCCTTTATTGCTAAAGGTTGGTGGAGTTTAATGAATGTTTTTGGCGAAATGTCGAACTTTTTAGAATTACCCAAAATATGCGTTTATTGCAAGCGATTTAGACGCTTGGATTCCCGATTTATCGATCCCGCTTTTTACACAATTTCCTAAATTCAATGCAATAAATGGAGTTGAATTTTACGTTTTCTGGATAATCCTCGAAATGGGATCTCTGGTTGGTGAGATGAAAATCATTTTTTTGCGTTACTGCCCAGTGGACGTTACTGCCCCAGTGGACGTTACTGCCCCAGTGGACGTTACTGCCCCAGTGGACGTTACTGCCCCAGTGGACGTGACTGCCCCAGTGGACGTGACTGCCCCAGTGGACGTGACTGCCCCAGTGGACGTGACTGCCCCAGTGGACGTGACTGCCCCAGTGGACGTTAGTGCCCAGTGGACGTTACTGCCGTTAAAATAAGAGTATTATAACCAAGAAATCGTTATCATATTTTACCTACTAGTTAGCATATATTTAGAGATTATTCAGCAGAAATTACAGATGAAACTGTTCACTGGTTTTTAAGAAAATCACAAATTTAAGGAACCGCAACAACTTTATGGAAAACCCTAATATTGGGTTGAGTTCATTTAAACTAAATACTTTAAAGAAGAAGATAATTGAGTACCAAATCTTGCTAAAACTTTTCGTTTTTTTCTTCATCAAAAAGAAAAATCTAGCTTTTTATAAATTTCTTAATATGATAATCAGAGAATTGCCTAGTTTTGGACTAAATTTCATCCCGATCTAATGAATTCAAGCAATGAATGAGCTGAATGAATTCAACTTCAAGCAAGAGGCTTTTCTTTGCAATCAACGCACTCTTTGAGCTTCTTTGAGCTGTGAACAAGATTTTCAGCTAAAAGTTGGCAATTTAAACTAAATACTTTAAAGAAGAAGATAATTTAAAGAGAATTTAAATAAAAACCTAGATCTATTAGGTTGGAAAGAAAGAATACTGGTAAAAAAAGTCTCTTGATTGAATTCTTTTTTTGAAAACTTTTTGAAGGAGTCTATCTTTACAAGTGACTTTTTTTTCGCTCTTTTATTCATAGATCAATTTTGATTCATCAAAACAGGATAAAAACTTGCTGCCTAATAGAGAATCGAATACTAAGAATGTTTCAAAAGTTCTATAGAAAGACATACCGTAAATACTGTAATAGTACCCCACCCCCATAATGACGGTGCGGAGTGTTGCGTAGTCTAGCTTTGAACGAGTTTTTCTCGACACTGGTTGATGCTACAATGCTACAACATATATCAAAAAAATAGCTGTAATTCAGGGCTATTTTTTGATACCAAAGTGCACATTGTAGCATAAAGCAGCGCGGAGAACGGGATGTTTAAAGTTAGACTACGCAACCATCCCGAAAAAACGCGTTTTTCTCGACACTGGTTTATGCTACAATGCTCGTTTTGGTATCAAAAAATAGCTGAAATTCAGGGCTATTTTTTGATACCAAAGTGCGCATCGTAGCCTAAACCAGTGTCGAGAAAAACGCGTTCAAAGCTAGACTACGCAACACTCCGCCCCGTCATTATGGGGGTAGGGTACTATTACAGTATTTACAGTAGTTCAGCCTTTGAGGAATCCTATAAACAAAAACTCTATGGCTTAGATATGGCCTAGATCAGAATTGACTGGTTTCAAACATCAGCTTCCTGCTTGAAGTCTAGCCATTAGATCGGGATGAAACTTTACCCAAAACTAGGTAATTTTAGTTTCTTTTGTTTTTGTGATGTTCAAAATGTTATCTTTTTAATGTTTTTAATGTTTTTAATGCTTTTCTTCTGCTTTTATCTTTAAATTTTTAGTGCATTTTGTTGATTTTTCATTCATTCTACTTGTTGAACATATCGCTTCATCGAATGAGTGCGCAAGCGCGAAAGCTACACAAAGGACTTTGTATTTCGTTGATTATTCAAGTATGAACAAGAATGGCAGTGACAGTGACAGTGCATTGGCAGTGACAGTGCATTGGCAGTGACAGTGCATTGGCAGTGACAATGTCGCCCATTATTCGATTAAATCAACTCTCATTTTCAGGTTTTCGCTCCATTTATCACTGTCGTTTTTCCGTTTGTATTTTTTGTGGTCATCATTCTCGGCGAAATCACCGTCCAACAATCAACGATCAACAAAAATGTGATCGTTGTTGCATTGCATGGAATGTTTGGATCAATTTTGATTTGTTTCTGTACAGAACCCTATCGAAAGTTTACAAAAAAGCTTCTCTTGTAAGCGGGTTTTCGATGCTGAAACAAAACATTGTTTAGGTGTAATCGTAAACAAAACTCTCGTCTAATCACAACTATTCAATTATCTTCAAAAGTAAATGTATCTTGAGTTTTTTTTTGTCAATGATTTGCACAAGAAAAAGCATCAAGTGGGAACTATCATTTTCTGACACTGACAAGAGATTTTCTGTGAAAACAAATGATCAATTCAAAAACGAAATTTCACTCTTCAATTGGTACTGAAATTTGAAATTATTTTGAGTTGATGGAAAATTGATGATGGAAAATTAAAGGACTTCTTTCTTTGAAGGAAAATAGGCTTTGATCGAAGGGTAGGCTTTGATCGAAGGGTAGGCTTTGATCGAAGGGTAGGCTTTGATCGAAGGGTAGGCTTTGATCGAAGGGTAGGCTTTGATCGAAGGGTAGGCTTTGATCGAAGGGTAGGCTTTGATCGAAGGCTACGCTTTGATCGAAGGCTACGCTTTGATCGAAGGCTACGCTTTGATCGAAGGGTACGCTTTGATCGAAGGGTACGCTTTGATCGAAGGCTACGCTTTGATCGAAGGCTACGCTTTGATCGAAGGCTACGCTTTGATCGAAGGGTACGCTTTGATCGAAGGCTACGCTTTGATCGAAGGCTAGGCTTTTACAAAAAGTTACAGAGGCGTTATAAACAGAATTACAAAGCCTTTCCGTGCCTTCATAGCATGTTTTTTAAGAATTCGATGCACTGTGGTCCGATCTTTGAGATTCCAATTGCAGCAGCCATCTTTAGAGTTTTTCTGTGATCTCGGGTTTCTTTGAATTCGTTGAAAGATCTTTCGACGATTGATTGAATTTTTGGCAATCTTCTTTCGGCCTTGATCGATCTTCCAATTTCCCAGTCTCTTCGTGGCGCTTGATTGCTTTTGAAACTGTCTGGTGAGGCATGTGCAAAAGCCGCGAAATCTCCATCAACGATTTGCCAGCTTTGAGTGACAGTTTGCTGAAAAAGTTTAACAATTGTTTAACAATCTGGGCTACAAATTGTTTTTTGATGACCTAGGGGCATGAACTCAAGTCGTTTAATTCATTTATAGGCCTGAGCTTTATAAATGAACAAAAACGAGAAAAAAAAGAAATTTCGCGCAATTTAAGAGAGGTACCTCTCTGTGCGCATTTGTTTTTGCAGAAAACAAAGAGGATACAGCTAAGTTACGTTTTTAACACCATTTTCTGTGGCGGAAGCTTTGTTTGTAGAGTTTTTTTAGACACACTTGCTTCCTTTTAGATCTCCTCCGCGAACATGATACAAAAGAATGTTAAGTTAAGTAGTTCTTATCATTTTCTGTAACGGAAGCTTTGTTTTTGTGACTTTTTAGACCCACTTGCTTCCCGCCGATCTACTCCATGAACTTGATGCCAACTAATGTTAAGTTAAGTGGTTTTTATCATTTTCTATAGCGGAAGCTTTTTTGTAGAGTTGTTTTAGACACACTTGCTTCCTTTTAGATCTCCTCCGCGAATATGATACAAAAGAATGTTAAGTTAAGTGGTTTTTATCATTTTCTATAGCGGAAGCTTTTTTGTAGGGTTGTTTTAGACATACTGACTTCCTTTTAGATCTCCTCCACGAACATGATACAAAAGAATGTTAAGTTAAGTGGTTTTTATCATTTTCTATTGTTTTTATGACTTTTTAGTTCAAAGAACGTTGAAACGTTGAAAAAAACGAAAAAAGAATAAAATGAAATGAATAAGAACGAAGAAAAAAGAAATTTCGCGCAAGTTAGGAGAGGTACGGTAGTTTTACCACGCTTTAAAGTGCCACCAGGATTTTCTCGGAAAAAGATCGCAAGTTTCTCAACACATTTCAGAAAGGCGAAGGCGAATTTCTCCAATTGATTTTAATCATCTTTGAGCATTTGATTTTGAAAGGTTACCATGGTGTAAATCTTCATTTTCCTGATTTCCTTTTTTTGATAAGGTTATCCGATAATTTCACCTGCAGCAGCTGCAATTGTTACCAAAAAACATCTAAATTGTTAGAATATCAGCTTTCAAAAGGTGTTTTTCACTCTAAATTTTTAGAAAATCTTTCAGTTTTCTTTTCTAAGTTTTCATTTTCAGAAAGATTTTATTGAAAATGCTACAAAAGATAACTTTTATCGCTATACTGATTTTTCTTCATCCAAGTGTTCAAGTGAATCTGAACTATCGACAGTGTTGGGTCTATATTCCTGGGGTAAGTGCAATGGCTTGCTCATAGACAAGCTTGCTTATCAATATTATCAATACAATAGCAGTACCTCATCGGTACCTTATTAGCAAAACCAAAGGTTCAATCCCTCTCCGGAAATCTTTTTCTTACCAATTCCTTTACTTTATTACTAATGCTTCTGATTTTCAAGTAGGTCCACGGTTCTGAGGATCCTTTCTTTCTTTCCTTCTTTCTTTCCTTCTTTCTTTCCTTCTTTCTCTTGACAAGTTAAGTTATTGGATAGCTCAATAGTTAGAGCAATTGCCAAAAGCAAAAGCAAAGCAAAAAGTCGTAGTTTCAATCCCCAGAAATCTATTTTCTTGTCAATTTCTTAAGATGATCAAAAAGTTCGCGCACACTTTACAAAAGAAGCTCAATTTTTCAGCTAAAAACCAAATCGAAATTTGACTATATAGTATTTTGAAGAAATTCTGAAGAGCATTTCTACGATTAAACCATCCTGATCAGAGCCACCTAGCTCTTTAAAGAAGTGCTTGAGACAAACTTTCATCGAGCTCACCTATTTGAATCTGTTTTCAATTGAAAAAAGCCAATTTCCACTTAATATTCCAGATTTCTCAAGGACCTATGATCATCAATTGCACAAATGGAGACAATATTTGTGTGCGAATTTCTGGCGGTGATAACCTAAACAATCCATCCTTTGTGGCAAAGGGATGCTCGCAGGGTTGGTGCAATGGAAAGGTTAGTGCACGTTTACAGAATAAGAGTTAAGAGACTTTTAAGTTAAGAGAGTTAAGAGTTTTTTCCAATTAGCCCAGCATTTACACTTTGAAAGAAATAAAGACACAAGGATTTTGGATTGGATAAATGAACATGTCCATCGACTTTAGAACATGTCCATCGACTATACCTTACAAAGTGCTGACGGATTATCGACAATGAGTTGTTGTGACACGGATTTGTGTAATTCGGTGAGTTTTGCTTTAAAAAAAAATCGTTGTTTTGTTAAATTCAAGACTTCTTTCACTTTCAGACATTATTTCAGACATTATTTATGTTAAATTTACGACTTTCAGACACCACAGTTTGCCTTTCCGTTTTTGTCGATCGTTTTGATCAGCTTTATCAGCTTTATCAAGAATTCTCTTTAACAATTTTCACATCGTTTTCGTCTTCTTGACACCAGACACACACACGTCTTCTTGTCTTCTTTTCTCATTTCAAAACATTTTTCTGCTCATAACTTTCCCAGGGGAATTCATTGTGTTTCACTCATTTCTTTTTCTTCCAATTTTTCAGACACTATGGATTTTGTGATTGGCTCTAAATCAGTAAATTTTTGAGTGTTTACATTTCTATTTACTTAATCATTACTGAAACTTCAATTGCTTGAAATTGCTGAAACTTTCATTGCTTGAAATTACTGAAACTTTCATTGCTTGAAATTACTGAAACTTCAATTGCTTCAATTGCTGGATTTTGTGATTACTTGTGAGCATTCCCAGGATTCTCAGAAATCCATTGCCAATTTTATGTCAATCTCAATCTTTATACAATCAATTCTTTTTCATGCACCTAATTCTTCGTGATTTCTCTCGGCGATTTCTGTGGGCGCCATAAAGTGACTCCATCAACACAAGTCTTTTCCCATTCATAGAAGATCATCAGCAAGCTCCGGAGATCCCAGCGTAAACATTTGAATCAAGTTTGGTCAAAAAAAGAGATCGAACCTGGGACCAGAAGTTTCAAAACCCGGCCGACTTTCCCCTGCTCGCTAAACGATAGTCGACGAGACGGACTTCAGTGTGTGACTTTTCGAGTAGATTCCCATATTAGTACCAACTTTGAACGCTTGTTTCTCGGCCAATTCTAAAACAATAAATTTTAGAGTGTTTACATTTCTATTTACTTAATCATTGCTGAAAACTTTCATTGCTTGAAATTACTGAAACTTCAATTGCTTGAAATTGCTGAAACTTTCATTTTTGATTTCGAATCCTACTAGAAATTTTATCGTGTTTACTCAATAAAACTTGATACTAGATTCTAAAGTGTTTAAAGCACATGTTGAACTTTTTTTAATTGAGATTTCTCAATTTCTATTCAGTCTCTCGATGAACAAACAAAAATAGCATTTCTTTCCTAAAAATGGACTCTAAAAATGGACTTTCTAAAAATGGAAAGAGAAATCCGCAAATTGCCTGCAAAATGGGCAGAAGAAAGAAATAATAAAGGAAATTATTTGCGATGAATTCATGGTTTTATGTTGAATAAAATTTAGTTCAAAGTCCGGCAGTTTTCAATTCACCAACCTAATATTTTGACCACACTAAACTTGTCCCTAAAGTGACTCGGTTCCTTTTTTTGGTCACTCACATTTCGGCCTCGAAATTTCTTCAATGTATCGATCAATTCAAACACTGTTTAGCCTATTTTGTAGAGGAGATTTACAACTTTCAAATAGTTTATAACATTCATTGATATCAGATTTCTATCGTTGGAAATTGATGAAAGGTTTCTATCGTTGGAAATTGATGAAAATGTTGAAATTTCTTATGCATTTCTGATGCTTTTCTTATGCATTTCTGATGCTTTTCTTATGCATTTCTGATGCATTTACCTAATACCAATTAATGAGAGCAGACAAAAGCGGATAATGGTTTAAAATTTTAGCTTTTTTTAAGCACTCCTGATAAGCATTCGTTAATCGTTATCATTAGATTTTTATATAGAAATACAGGGTGCGGCAAAAGTTCGGAGCCGCTTCTTAAGATAGTTAAAGGTTTAAAAACTAGCTTTAAAAAGTTAAAAATTAATAACAAACTCTTTATTCGAATCATAACAACAAATAACTTATAACAAATGCTCGAAATTTCCACCATCCGCTTCGATACACCTCTTTAAACGCTTTGGGAAGTTCCTCACGATGGTGGCGCACGCTTAAACAGTTATTTCATCCCAGACTCGTTTCAGAGCAGATTTTAAAGCATCCACTGTTTGATACGTCTTCATCAAGATCTTGCCTTCCAAAATAGCCCAAACGGTGTAATCGAGGGGATTAAGATCTGGCGAATTTGAAGGCCAAATGGTCTTATCCCAAAAGCCTGGAAACAACTTAGCGCAAACGTTGAGAGTTGAGTGAACACCATGCGCCGGAGCCCAGTCTAAAAACCAGCTTGTCCAAAGTGATTTGTTGCCCAATGTTTCAAGACATCTTTTAATACCAGTTGTTGGCAGTTTCTAGCATTCATCTTGACTTTTCTGTCCAAAAAAACAGGCGGTGTCTTGCTGGTAGCAGACATACCTCCACACATCATAATCGAAGCTGAAAAATGCTTTCTAACCATCAAATTTGCCGCAAATGTGTTCTTCAGACCCCTTTTGAGAAGTTATCTATGATTTTGGCGGTTGTGCAATGACTGGATAGAAAAAATCTTTTCATCTGTGAAGAGGATCCTCTCAAGTAGGCCAGTCGCCACCAAACGCACCATCTTCTTTGCTAGAAGCTTTCGTTTCTTCTGGGATTTGTCGCTCAAGACGTGTGCTTTAGCCAATTTGTAGCTAAAGAATCTTAGTTTCCCTTTAACAATCCTTCCGACGCTTCGAGGGCTAATTTTCAGCTGTTTGCCCATCTTTCGCATCGACCGCAGCTTGTTTTGGCGGATCCGAAAGCGGATTTCGTTGATGTTCGTAGGTGTTACGGCAGTTGGTGGTCGACCACTTCGAGGGCGATCCTTGTTGTTCTTTATCTCCTTATAGCGTTTAATTGCTTTGTTGACGGTGCTTTTTGGATATTTTGTGATTTTTACAAGCCCCGGGCTATTTTTTCCGCCTTCGTATAATCCGAGAATCATATCGCGTCGTTTTTTGGCGTTCATTCTTACGAATTTTCTCCTAAAAAGAAAATTTTTGTAACAAATCACCTTAATTATACTCGAAAAAGGGGAAAAAAGTATACGAGACACAAAAAAAAGCGCGAGCTAAATTTTCTGCAATGTTTTCTTAGCGGCTCCGAACTTTTGCCGCACCCTGTAATCTCGAAATTCTCATCAGCCATTAGTCTTTGAAAAATGGAAAAACGATTTCACGCATTTCCTTCACAGAAAAGAGATCTTTATTTTTCTATTTCTATGCTTGTTTCGAGGAAAAAAAATCGAGTTAACTTTTTCCTCAAAGTCAACGAAAAGGAAAACAATTCACAATTCACACCATATTTACTTGCCCTTTTTCTATTCAAAAATTCAAAGTCACATGTTTTCTATGAGAGCTGTTAACTAACTAGTCAACGAAATAAACTTCTCTATATTCTGATTTTCTGTAAAAGACGACCGTAACGATGCATATGGATTGCCCGTACAATCAGACGCTGGATCAACGACTAGATTACTCAAAGGTTTTCTCAAGCTTTTCTTTAAGTATTTGCTTCTTTTAGAACAGAATCGATGATGAAACTTTTTTGCATTTCCATGGTTATTTGATGGGCTCATTTGCGATTCTCGCCTTTGCTTTCACGTTGATTTTTATTGGTAAGCTCATTTTAAGCTATCCCCTTTCGCAAATTCGCGACGAGGCGTTTTTTTGCGTTACTGCTCAGTGGACGTTACTGCCCCAGTGGACGTTACTGTCCCAGTGGACGAGGGCTATCTTGCAAAGCTATTAGCCTCGTTTTTCGATGGGCTGTGGTCTTTGAAATTCAAATTGCAGCAGCCATCTTTGGTAGAGTTTTTCTGTGAACTCAAGTTTCTTTGAATTCGTTGAAAGATCTTTGGACGATTGATTGGATTTTTGGCAATCTTCGTTCGGCCTTGATCGATCTTCCAATTTCCCAGTCTCTTTGTGGCGCTTGATTGATTTTGAAACTGTCTGGTGAGGCACGAAGGCGCGAAATGCGGAACGAAATGAAATGAAATGAAGCCACAAAATCTCCATCACCAATTTGCCATCCTATGAGAGTCTGCCTTGCCTTGCCATCCCATCCATGGCTGGTCACATATCCAATTGTGATTTCATCCTAAAAAAAGCCAAGAATATAATATAAAAGAATTTAAATTATAAGTAAGAAAAAGAACGAGATAAAACAATAATAAACAAAACAGGATTCGCTTCATAATTTTGAGACACCCTGTATATGACTATAGTAGTATAGTCATATGAAAAAAAGTCCTCACACTTTCAGCCACAACATTTCGAGCCATGCGTCTTCATCGTGGCTCTCGAAAATACCGTGCCCTTTTGTTAAATCGAGCAATTGGCGATTTAATCGGTGCCGCTTCAGTCACCACTTCAGCCATTCTCACCATTATCTCACCGTCTGCAAAGTGAGGCTTTAGTAGAGTGTGCTCCTTGTTGACAGACAAATTGTCAGACAAATTTGCCTTGACAACTTTTTTGTCAGACAATTGATCAGATAAACTTCCGACAACGCGTTTTCTAAAAGGTGCGCTTTTTAAGCAAAGCCATAAAGGCCAAAATTTTCTTCAAATTTAGTAATAGATAGTTTTATTTAAGGATTTAGGTTTTTTAGGGCGTGGAATTTGTTTTTGGAATGGTTCTAGTACAAATGTAGACAATAGGCCCGGTAAATTCGTAAATAATATCATTTTTTTATAGTGTTTCTTAACTTTTTTTCCGTTTTAAATACGTTTTCTTTAATTTCACACAGCATTTAAAAAATTTTGAGTTTTAGCGAACTTTTGACATGAGCATAGGGTTACGGTAGCTTATCTTATCTTTTTAGAAAACGCGTTGTCTGCCAGGAACACACTCTAGTCTTTAGTAGGTGAAAACAAAAAGTAACAATGCTGTTTAGCCGTGATGCCGTTGCTCTGATCGGATGCTTTTTCTATTCAACTTTTTGGAGTGCCTTTATCTCGTACACGAGTCTCTCGTTGCTTAAAGTTTGTTCATTGTTTTGTTCATTGTTCACTAATTGGTTATTTCAGCTCTACGCTGTGTTGCGACCTTTCTCATATCGTAAAGTGTTCACTTTCCGTAAATGCATCTACATTATTGCTGCTTAGTAAGTGGAAATAAATACAGATTATTTCACTTTAATCATTTGGAAAAGTGTAACAATTGGAACGTTATTAGAGAACTTTTTTTTGTTTATTTTTTATTGTTTGATTATATTTATCTTTTTGTTTATTTATTATCTTAAAATTGGTTTTAAGATTTCATTTTTAGTTTCAAATATAATAATGAAGGCTTCTTCGTAACGAGCAACAGTTATTCAGCTTGATAGAAATGGATAGACGACTTCCTAGATTGCCAAGGAGCTCAAGATTGGACAAGGTACCGTTCATCGTATCTTAAAACGTCGATGATCTTTCTTAGAGTGGAAGACCGAGAGTTATTGACCGTATACGGCCAAAGAAAAACCTCGACAAACGATTGGAATGGAATCCAGCAAGGAGTATGAGAAAATTGGCCAACGATTTTGGAGTATCTATTAGGTTGGCAACTTAATAATGACGCGTCACTACTTAACATGTTTTTTGTAATTTCAAGCGCCGTTTCTTCCCTCTTTTTTGCATATATACAAAGTAAAAGATGTCTACATAAATAACATTTAGTGCTCCAAATTTCATCATTTGCTTTTTGGCAAAAAAAGGAGGACAAAAAATTCCGCATTGTTCTACGATTGTTCTACGATTTTAAACAAGGAAAATCACCAGCTGAATCTCATCGCACGATCACCACTGTTTTTCGAGAGGAAAGTATACACATTCGTCAATGTCAACGATGGTTTCAAAGATTCCAAGGCGGCGATGAAAGCCTCGTAGACGAGCCACACCAAGGACATCCTCCAGAAGTGGTCGACGATGACTTGCTCGCCTTAATTGAAGATTGCCCAACACTCACCGTTCGTGAGTTGGCAGAAATATTTGAAGTATCCCATATGACAATCAAAAACTATTTACACAAACTTGGGAAAAGAATCGAGTTGGAAAATGGGCTCCTCACGAGCTGACCCAGAGCAACAAAATGTCGCCTCAATTTTGCTACAAAAATACAAATCAAACGACTTTTTTCACAGGGTTTTGACTTCTGACGAAACGTGGATCAACTACGAGAACGTTAAACGCAAAAATCGATGGCTATCTGCTGGGCAGACCCCTCAAACCACTCCCAAACCTGATGTCCATGGGAAGAAGATAATGCTCTGTTGCTGGTGGAACTTCAAGGGATTGGTACATTATGAAGTGCTGAAACCTGGCCAAACCGTCGATGCTGATCTTTATTCGAAGCAATTAATGAGAGTTAACGAGTCTCTGAAGAAATTGGGGCTCAAACCGGAGAGAGTCAGATTTTTACACGACAACGCAAAACCTCACACTGCAAAGATCACTTATAAGAAAATCGAGGAACTTGGCTGGAAAGTTTTGCCCCACGCGTCTTATTCACCTGATCTGGCTCCTTCAGATTACTTTTTGTTTCGGTCGGTGAAGCACTTTTTGGAGGGAGAAAAGTTCGATGATCATGTTCAGTTCATAAAAGCAGTGAATGACTACTTCGCCTCAAAAACTCCCAAGTTCTTCGAGGATGGGATCCGGGATTTGCGCAGAAGATGGGAAGAAGTCATAGATACTAATGGAGAATACCTTTCGAATTGAAAGCTCTTCTTTTGTGTTTTTTTGAAATAAATGATTTGTTACATAAACGCGTCATTATTAAGTTGCCAACCTAATAATTCAACAATTCGAAATGTGGTCAAAGAAAGCAAGCAGAAGCAAAAGCAAGCAGAATTTCCCCGATTTCTGATCGCCCAGGATGTGGTGGTAAAGCGACCGTTGTCACCAAGGCTATTATCAAGAAGGTTTCAAAATCAGCCACGCTTGAAAGCCACTCGTTTGCAGGCAAGTATGGCAAAGAATATGGGAATTTCTTGAACTTCTATGGGCCTTCTATGGGCCCAGCAATAATCGTCTTGAAATGAAAGCTTATAACTTTTCCAAAAGCCAATTTGTTACATCAACCAGCAAAAAGAAAAGCGAGGATCGTTCAAGCCAACTTTTACTTCGCTTCAATGGTATCGATCATCGGAAAATTCTCTTTACCGATGAAAAAAAGGAGAGCAAAGAAGCCCGGACCTCAACCGTCTCGATTATTCGACATGGAGTGTATTAGAAGCAAAAGCATACTCGAAACCCTATCCGACAGTCGATTCTTTGAAGAAAGCTCTTCAGAAAGCTTGGGACGAGCTGGACAGACCCTACCTTTACGTCACGATATCGCTACCGTGGACACGCCCCACCTTATCGCCACCTTATCGCCACCTTATCGCCACCTTATCGCCACCTTATCGCCACCTTATCGCCACCTTATCGCCACCTTATCGCCACCTTATCGCCACCTTATCGCCACCTTATCGCCACCTTATCGCCACCTTATCGCCACCTTATCGCCACCTTATCGCCACCTTATCGCCACCTTATCGCCACCTTATCGCCACCGTGGACTTATGCCCTACCTTTACGCTACCGTAAACGCGTTCCCAAAACGCCTCCAGGCCTGTGTTGCCACGAAGGGAGATCTTTTTTTGAAAAAAGGTAATTTTTTAGGTTAAATTATTGTGTTAAAACAAATTTTTGTTGTTTTAGTGTCATTTTAATGTAAGGTGGTCTTTAAATCCTCAAGTTCTTTCGTCCCCGAATCCTGGGCAACTCTGTAGATGTCTATCTTCATACTTTGAAGGATCATGCAATGCTCTGGACTCAGCACAACCCAGCTTTGAACTTTAATGCAAAACAGCTCACAGCGAAAAGAAAGCTAAAAGAACCCAAGAATGTTGCCATTTAAATCTTCTCGACTGATACACGGCGATGAATGGTGTTTGAATTCACCTAATTTGAACGTGACGGATTTGTGTAAGGCATATTGGAGAAACAAGCATTCGACAAAACACAACAACATCGAAAGTCTGAATAAGGCTCTTCAAAAGGCCTGGAAACAAAACAAACAAACAATTCCACAAAACCCGAAGAGAATTCGAGCTGTCATTAAGAATAAAGGAGAATATCGAATGATTTTTGTTTTTTCTTTAGTTGTTCTTGTTCATTGTTACATATTAGAAGTTCAATAAAATTTAAGCGATCACTAAAGTTTTTTGGAGATTGTTAGGTGTTTCCATGTTTACCTCGAGTCCTGTAAACCGTTCAAAGCCTCTGTTTAGTATAGTTGAACCTTATTATTGGTCATTGTCAACCTAATAAAGGTCATTGTCAACCTAATAAAGGCCATTATCAACCTAAGGCCATTGTCAACATAATAAAGGCCATTATCAACCTAAGGCCATTGTCAACATAATAAAGGCCATTATCAACCTAAGGCCATTGTCAACCAAATAAAGGCCATTGCCAACCTAATAAAGCCCATTGTCAACCTAATAAAGGCCATTGTCAACCTTATAAAGGCCATTGTCAACCTAAGGCCATTGTCAACATAATAAAGGCCATTATCAACCTAAGGCCATTGTCAACCTAATAAAGGCCATTGTCAAGTTTAATTAGAGAGAATGCCTAATTATCTAATTATCTAATTAGATAATTAGGCAAATTCGGAAGGTTCTTCAAAATGAATAAGTTGGAAAAAAAAATGATAGAACGAAAGGCGAAAAAGTCGACAATAAAGTCCTCTTCTAGTTGGATCATTTTCATTGCTTGCATCTCGATGTGTGCTGGAGTGGTGACCGTTCACTTACAAATCCACTGGTTTACAGACCACATGCATGGGTAGAGTGTTTTCCTTATCGTTCGACTTCAATCAAGTATTATCACTATCGTATTTAGAGTGTTTTCCTCTCAGTTAATGTAATAGTACCCCACCGCCCTCGTACAGTCGCGTAGTCGCAAAAGTTTTTTAGTATTTCATTTTTTTCAAAGCGCCCGTACTTTCAAAAAATGCGTCTTTGGTATCAAAAAATAGCTGAAATTCAGGGCTATTTTTTGATACCAAAACGCGCATTGTAGCATAAACCAGTGTCGAGAAAAACTTGTTCAAAGCTAGACTACGCAACACTCCGCACCGTCATTATGGGGGTGTCTAAGTGGGTACTGTTACAGTATTTACAGTAAGTTAAAAGAAAAGAAGTAGAAGAAAAAAGAATGAAAAAAGCCTTAATCATAAAAAAAGATTTCAAAGGACGCCGTTACTTGTAACAATATGTACTCGAAAAAATTTGAATAAATCAATTTGTTTAACCGTCGATTCGCGACGATTCGACTAAAGAAAACAATTATGCAGATTTATTTTTGTTTGATTTGGTTATATGTTTATTGGGGAGGAACACACTCTATGCATGGGTGAAATAGCAATATCACCAAAGCAATACCACTAAAGCAATATCACCAAAGCAATACCACTAAAGCAATATAACCAAAGCAATATCACAATATCAATATCACCAAAGCAATATCACTAAAGCAATATCACCAAAGCTAATATCACCAAAGTAATATCACCAAAGCAATATCACCAAAGCAATATCACCAAAGCAATATCACCAAAGCAATATCACCAAAGCAATATCACAATAGCAATATCCGAAGCACAATCACCAAAGCAATATCACCAAAGCAATATCACTAAAGCAATATCACAATAGCAATATCACAATATCAATATCCAAAGCAAATCCCAAATAACAAAACTATCAATTTTCTAGATTTCGATACTTCTTCTCGACATTCACTTGTTTTGACTACACTTTTACTATCGTCATTTTCATCGTCACTGGTTTGTTGTTTAGATTTGCTGATAAATGGAAAAGACAATAATAAACCATAAATTTTTAGTGATCGTTTTAAAGAAAGTTGAGATGAATGAGAAAAATGCAATGAATAATACTCGAGGAGAGTCTTGTAGATCAGATCGAGGCACGAGATTTGGAAAAACAGGGTGAGTGAATGGCTATACTGTAGTTTTAACAGAGTTTGTCTACGTGGATCTTTTAAATAATAGTTGATAGTTGTCTTCAACGAACTTTAGAAGAGGAACTTCTCATTTAGAGTTGGGAGTTGAAAAAACGAAAACAGCTTAAACACAGTTAGCTTAAACAAAACTTAAAACCAAACCTTAAGCAGAAATAGGGCTTAATGAGGGGTAAAGATTGTAGTTATTGACAATAAACCACAACCACATTGAGCTGTTGTGGTTAGTGTCTTTAAAATGCTAAATGACACTAATTTATATAAAAATTGCTAATTTTAGCATTATTTTACATCCTTTCCAAGCACTACAAGATAAGCTGTAGTTCAGGGTGTAAAGAAAATAATGCGCGCTTCGAATACACTAATTGAAAACCAATATTATTAGGTTGGTGAATTGAAAACTTCCGGCGATTGTCATATGTGATAGTTTGAGGACTTTCTTCAAAAGAAACCCATTTTGGTGTCAATGGAAAAGTTGTAGAGAATCAAAAATCAAGCTTATATCCAGATTTTCAGAACGATTCAAAAATTGGTTTTCAAGAAATGAGAATTTAACGAATTTTCACAAAACTTGCATTTTAAAGCGAAACTACTAAGTGTATCTTTTAGGAAATTTGGCTATAAGCCTAGTTTTCGACTCTCTACAACTTTTCTATTGACAACAAAATGGGTTTCTTTTGAAGAAAGTGCTCAAACTGAGACATCTCCAGTCCTCCATTTTTGAGTCTCACACTTGTCTCACACACAAACCAAAATCCTACCACGAAAGAGGAATCCGCAAATTGCCTGTAAAATGGGCAGAAGTCGTCAATAATAATGGAAATTATTTTGAATGAATTCATGGTTTTATGTTGAATAAATTTTAGTTCAAAGTCCCGCAGTTTTCAATGCACCAACCCAATACATTGAAAACTATTGGATTGTCCAGTTATGAATGCGCGTTTTTACTATTTTGTAAATTTCTCAGGATATCGAACAGATGTATATGAGTGTTATATATCATTCGAAAGCTGAAGTTCTCCTCTACATTTTCGAATGAGAAAGTTTTTGAATTCATTCAACTTTTTGCGAAATTGACTGCACAAAGGGAGAGGTCGTTTTCGAAAAAACTCATTCCAGCTTAGCTATTCCTCAAGTTTTATGGTGTAAAATAACCGCCCAGAAAAGAAAAGAAAAGAAAAAATGCTCTGAAATTGTTATATTTAAAAAAAAGTTTTATTGATATATCTATTGGCCAAACATCAAACGGTTAACTCAATTTGAGCAGAGCCAAAACTTGATCCAAAGGCACCCTTCCATTTTTTGGCCACCTCTTCTTCTGTGCAGTCAATTTGCTCAAAAGCTAAACAAATTCAAAAACTTTTTATATCAAAATGTAGAGGAGATCTTCAGCTTTCGAATTATACTCATAAATATCTTTTTCTTGTTTTCGATATCTTAATAAATTTACAGAATAATAAAAAACGCGCATTCATAACTGGAAAACCCAATATATTCAAGTTATTCTAGCAACACTGATCACATTTCAAAAAATCAAACAGCAAAAAAAAAAACTCAAAACTCAGCGCTTATCATTTCGTTTTTATGGTTTGGTCTGTAGGGGTTGTGAACTTTCTTTTTTCATAGAAAATCCCCATTGCCTCCGTCAAAGCAGAGTTTTATGGGTAAAACCTCGAAATGCGGGACGTATGATAAGCCGGCTTTCGATCCGCATAAAAGCTTTTGAGTGATCAACGAAATTCTATTGAATTTCCCAGCTCTCTTATCGAATGCTCGGCTTTACAGTAATCCTCGCTCTCGTGGTAACGGTCTCCGCTACATGCACTGGATCCAATTGTGAAACATGCTCGTTCAGTTCGGGATGCGGGCGAGAAAAGAAAATGAATGCCGAAGGCTAGACATTTGTAAAAAAAGCTATGGTTTAGCCTTCTTCAGTTGCTTGGTTTAGCTTTCTTCAGTTGCTGGGTTTAGCCTTCTTCAGTTGCAGGGTTTAGCCTTCTTCAGTTGCTTGGTTTAGCTTTCTTCAGTTGCTGGGTTTAGCCTTGCTTCAATGCTTCAGTAACAATGTACGGTTTCCGTTGAAGCTTGACTCACTTTTGTTCAATCAAATATCTTTTGGTCTTTATTTAAGCCAAGTGCTAATGATTAGAAGGGTATTTTTTCTAAAAGACATCTATTTAAAAGAACTTCCTTAAGTAAACAGCCAGTTTTCATGCAAAAAGCTTATCTTTGGTGTTGTTGGATGAGCCTCGTGGTTTCTCATCGGTTAATATTAAAAGCTTGAATGAAAGCTGACTGCTTGATTATAGAATTGAATCAATGCATATGAAATGGCTAAATTTTTGCGCTGTTAAAATCCTTTGTGAACCCTAAGCGCTATGAGGATTGTTTACACAAAAATGCTTCCATTGCTACACAAAATATTTAGATTGATTTGATGGTTAATCGCGAATAAATGCTTTTTTGAACATTTAGCCATTGAACATGCATTGATAGTTTTCGAAAATAAGTTTCTTTTAGAAAATGCATCACTCAAAGAGAGCCCATTCTATTAATTATAGGCTTTGATTGTTTTGAGAAAATTGGGTCTAGGAACTGATAAATTTGATAAATTCATATTTGTTAAATATATAGACCTTTCTTTATAACGGTATCTTTTACAAAAATCACAATTTTAGATGGAATGGCTCTCAGTGTGTGTCGTCCGGTCTTCTGAACCTGAATTGCGGAAACGCTGGCTGGGTTCGTGAGCTCGGAATTTGTTGCACTCAATTACAAGATGACTTCCTCTTACAAGATCCACCTACAAGATTGCTCCCCTTGCGCACAAACTTGTCCAGGGAGAAAGAGCCGAAACAGGCCAGCATAGTGACAAACAGGCCAGGATAGTGACAAACAGGCCAGCATTGTGACAAACAGGCCAGGATAGTGACAAACAGGCCTGCATTGTGACAAACAGGTCAGGATTGTGACAAACAGGCCAGCATTGTGACAAACAGGCCAGCATTGTGACCGAGTAGCCCGAAAGGGTGAAATAAACGTATAAAAATAAGATAATAAGTGTATAATAAGAAACAAGAAGCCTTTTGTTTGTGGTCTTTCACAACTCAATACTTTAGTATACTTTAGCATACTTTAGCATACTTTAGTATTATTTCATTAAACTTATTTACTAAATTTAAATAAAATTTCAGTTCCTATTACTGTTCTTTTTCGCTTTTGAAAAGAGTTTAAGTAAACAGCAAAATTAACCCATTCGAAACCGCAGCGTTTTTTCCTTTTTTTTCGTCTACGGACCAAGCCCTTTTTTGACATTTTTGACTCCGAAGCAGTTTATTTATGGTTGGAAAGATGCAAGAGAGTCTCCTACACCATTTATTTTTGATGAAGAACGATTTGGATTTGACTTCAGTACTTTTCAAAATCCTATATTATTCTTATTTTATCGACGACAAATTAATCAGCATGTTAGTAGGCGAATCTAATAAACATGGAAAAGGGAAAAAAAACTGGCAGGATTTCGATGCAAGCTCTTCCTGGCTCTGTATCGTGACTACTGGAGTAGCAGGCCTGGATTAGGAGGATTTTCCCACATGTCCCACATTATGTCAAGAGCAAAATTTGAATCTATTCTTCGAAACCTGCGTTTTTGTGATAATGAACTGGATCCTGCGGGAGATCGGCTTTATAAGATTAGAGCTATTATGGAACATTTCAATGCAAAACCAGAGACTGCATTGATTCCGGGTAAATATAAAACATCTTCTTTGCCCACGTAATTTGTAGATCTGCTACAATTGGAATATACATGCAATGCTGAAAAACAGCAAAAAAAACCAATTAATTGAATGAAAATAGCTCAATTAGCGCTGCAGCGAATAATCGCTGCAGCGGTCCGTTCCTGAGTTTTTGCTGCAGCGATTATTCGCTGCAGAAGTTTCGAATGGGTTAAGAAACTAATCTTAATCTAAAATGTTTACAGACTTGCAATGATGCCTACGCTTGTCCAGGAACTCCACCCGCCTACAACGAGAACTTCGCCCGGAATCAGCTCTGGAGATTGCATGCAGCTCAAGCTCAAAATTTACCCACAGACATTGGGGTGAATTAATAGAAATTTCTTTTTATTAAATGTGATTGTTTTAGTTCATCGGCTGTATGCAAGCAGCTGACGAGGAAGCAGTTTTCCTTGGGCGTGTCCAAGTCACATGCGGATTCCCGGTAGCGTTTTAGGTTCTCGTTTAAATCTTGTGCCACATAACATCTGAGATTTGCGAATCTAGCTATGAACGCTAGGCTTAGGCTCAGGCTTAGGCTCAGGCTCAGACTTAGACTTAGGCTTGGACTTAGTGCGAAGGCTAGCGGCTAGCGCCTCGCACTAAGTCTATTTGGGTTTGGGCTGAACCCCCATTTTCTGGATCTCAGCTTAGACTTAGGCTTAGGCTTAGGCTTAGGCTTAGGCTTAAGCTTAGGAACGCATTATTTAGCGTTCATCGCTAGATCTAATCTATCTAGCGATTATCTAACCGATCCAGTGCCCCTACTTACAAATCTTAACCTCTTAGACCAAATTGTGAGCTGTGTAAAATGAAAACCAAAGAAAAAATGAAACCTTTTTACAGCTTCCCACTGATCCATGCACTACGGATGTTTTCGCATTGCCCGGCTCAAATGCCATTGTTGCCTCAACTCTCGGAACAGCCGCAAACACCACACAAGTTAGACAGGAGAACTTTTTTCACCAGCATAGATACATTTTAGTCTATTAAAATAATTGCCGTCTAAAGATATTATCATTTTTCAGCTCATCAATGCACTTCTTGCCCTAACCATTCCGCTCACCACCAACGGGGTCAGCTTGCCTTTTTCTTTATAATTATAATTTTCTTTTTCTTCAGGTTATCGTCTATTGGGATAACGCTAACTCGTTGTTATGGCCTGGCGTGGAAACAATTCTTTCAAGCGCCTTTGCCTCCACATCGCCTTATTCAGGATACAATGTAAGCAACGGGATAAGGATTTAACGGGATTCATCAAAACATAGCAAATCCACAAAGTAACTTTAAACTTTAGCTGGTTCTTACCGGCCACTCAATCGGTGCAGCGGTTGCCGTGCTTATGGCGGGAGAGGTTTGCATTATATTTGTAGAAAATGATTGATTCGTGTTTCCTTACAATTTTTCAACTTTATTCTAGGCGGCCCAGGCAAGCTGGCTTCCATCAACTGCCCAAGTGTCGTCGATCACTTTCGGTGAACCCCGAATCGGCAACTATGCTTTTCTCGACTCGAACTTTGCTGCGGCTAGTGTTTTTTTTGCAATTTCAGATTTAGCAATGTCAGATTCATAAAATGAATTTTTAGGCGCCAAATCATTTGCGAATCATCAATCAAAACGACGTGATCACTACTCTTCCCGTCGAACTTGGCGTCTTCCACACCAAGTATCCGGTAGTTTAGATAGAGAGTTTAGATAGGATTGAATGAAAAGTGTTTTTAGGTTCAATACAAGAATGGAATGAATTCAACATTCCTCGGCACTCAAACCATCTGCAATACTTATGAGGCTTCGAGTGAGTTTCCATTAAGCTTTAGTAGCCAATAAAACAGTCAAAACTTGAGCGTCAAAACTAGAAAACAGAAATTTCAATAAGAAAACTTCTTAATGAGTTTATAAGCTTTAAAAAAATGGTCAGATTGTGCGGCAAACGCGTTGGGCGGAATCCCGATCCTTGCTCCCGACTATCACAACACATATTTCGGCATTCCCGACTCCTATCCAACCTGGCGTGTCACCAATTGCTCATATGCGGGAATTTGAGTGTTTCAAGATTCAAGATAAAACAATAAAACATTCACAATCTTAATAGCTGCTAATAAATTCTTTGTTTTACTTTAAATGCTCTGATAAAATCGCAATGTTTTTAAACGATTTATATTAGGTTGTCCAATAAGTAATGCGTGTTTTGACACGATTTTCAAAATATCACAAAATTAACAAAAGAGAACTTTATTAATCGATATATTCTCCACAACAATCAACAACATTTCTCCATCGTCCGAGCAAAGAGTGAAGTCCGTCATGGTGTTAAGCAAAGCTTCGTTATCAAAAACGACTGGCCTTCCAGCGCGTTCCTCGTCCTCTAACGACTCGTTTCCATCCGCAAATCGTTTAAACCAGCGCTGGCACTGGCTGATTGAAATTGAATCTTCTCCAAATGCGGCACAGATAGTTCGATGGCAATCCGCTGCAGTTTTACCTCGTTTGAAATCATACAGCATTGATGCGCGGACAACAAACTTTTTGTCTTTCATCTGCAAAACAACATATCTATTATAAAACAAAGGCAAATGAATAAAATAATATATAAAAATAAACACAAGATGCTGATGATTAAAAAGAGCATATATTTGCTCGAAGCGATTTCGCAATAGTTTCGAAATAAGTAACACGCATTACTTATTGGACAACCTAATACATAAAACGTAAAAAAGTTATCTTTTTTTTCTTTTGTTTATAAAAACCTTTAAAAACTTTTGATCAACTTAGTTTCTTAAGAAAGTCTGAATTCTTTGCTTTTTTTGATACCAAGCACTCATCAGTTAAAGTTCTTCAATTGCTGAGAAAGATTCATTTATTTTCAATCATAAATTTCAATCGTTTTCAGATTCAATCAACGCTTCTTGAGCTTTTCTTGCATTGCATTCCTGTCGAGTTTTTCTTTTCAACAATCAGTGTACGCTTTTATGGCATCACGTACACATGGTTTCAATGGAGTGCCACAACACATTATGTAAAAGAAATCTTTGTATAATTATAAACAAACTATTCCAAAATAGAAAGCGAAGGCTTTCAAAAGACAACTGAATCGGATTTGATAAGTTTATTTGGATTTAGACCTAGGGAAAGGCACTAGGTCGCAAATAGCCGATTCTATAAAGTCTTTTGTACTTTATAGAATCTATGTTGAAGTAAATCTTCTTTTGGATAAAGCCAGTCTGGTCATGCCTGTGAATTGACTACCCTGAGCACCCTGAGCGTCGCCTAAATTGTTCAAAATCTCGAGAATCGCTTATCAGAACCTATCGATGTGGGGTCGGAAAATGTAGCTGACGATGAGATCTAGTTGGGGATTAGAGTGTTGAGCTTCTGCAAAAGCTTGGAAACCGCCAAATAGTCATCAACTCGGCTCGGCGGGGTGCACTACTATTAGAGATAATACGCTAAATGAAGATAAGCTAGTTTCCAGAGGTTTTACAGTAAATGAAGATAGGCTAGAGTTTTACAGAGTCCTGTAAAGTCCCAGTAATTGTGACTTTAAAATGTAGCTTCTAAATTGAAAATCGAAAGACTGATATTATTTTGTATTTTGAAAGAGTTAATGTATCTTTTCACTTGATTAAGAGAAATTTCAGGTAGTTCCGGCTCTGCCCGTCAACTTGTAAAACAGAGTTTGAAAGTAAAAAGTAAATCTTTGAATTGTGGTAATTTTAGGGATTTTTACGCTCAATATCTTATCTAAATGTTGATAAAGAATACTGGTGAAAAAAAAAGTTTCTTAATTGAATTCTTTTTTTAAAAAACTTTCTAAGAAGTCTATTTTGCAAGTCACTTTTTTTTCGCTCTTTTGTTCATAGATCAACTTTGATTCATCAAAACAGGATAAAAACTTGCTGCCTAATAGACAATCGAATACTAAGAATGTTTCAAAAGCTCTATAGAAAGACATGCCGTAAATACTGTAATAGTTCCCCCCTACCCATAATGACGGTGCGGAGTGTTGCGTAGTCTAGCTTTGAACGCGCTTTTCTCGACACTGGTTTATGCTACAATGCGCGTTTAGATATCAAAAAATAGCCCTGAATTTCAACTATTTTTTGATACCAAAGACGCATCTTTTGAAAGTACGGGCTCTTTGACTAATGGCTTTGAAAAACTAAAAAAACTTTTGCTACTACGCGACTGTACGAGGGGGAAATGGGGTACTATTACAGTATTTACGGTAGTTCAGTTTTTGAGAAATCCTATAAACAAAAACTCTATGGATTAGCACGTGTGGCTGACTGGTTAAGTGTCTTTTATCTTAATCGGAAAGTCGAGGGTTCGAACCCCACATGCGACATGGTCACCCCCTTCGGATTTCCTTTCCCTTCGGGTTGAGAGGTTTTCTGGAGGGCAGTCTGGTGGTTGTGGCCCCAGTTCTTTAAAGTGACAAGCCACTCCTTCATCGTCATCTTCCCTTCACCACCAAAAAAGCTATTTAGTTCCCCATTGAGCTTAGGGTTAGGGAGCCGTCTGTCATGACGTGGGTTAAGTTAAGATATAACCTAGTATTGTGTGTGTCGTTGTATTGTGATTGATATATTCCGTGTATGCGATAAATTCACCACTGGTAGCCCCAGTCGGTATTTTTTTTTAGATATGGCTTAGCTCAGAATTGACTGATTTCAAAGATAAGTTTCCTGCTTGAAGTCTAGCCATTAGATCGGGATGAAACTTTACGGTAGTTTTACCACGTTTTAAAGTGCCAACCCAGGATTTTCTCGGAAAAAGATCCCAAGTTTCTAAACACCTTTCAGAAAGGCGAAGGGATTTCTTCAATTGATTTTAATCATCTTTGAGCATTTGATTTTAAAAGGTTACCATGGTGTAAATTTTCATTTTCCTGATTTCCTTTTTTTGATAAGGTTATCCGATAATTTCACCTGCAGCAGCTGCAATTGTCACCAAAAAACTTCTAAATTCTTAGAATATCAGCTTTCAAAAGGGGTTTTTCACTCTTGAAAAAACTTCTAAATTTTTAGAAAATCTTTCAGTTTTCTTTTCAAAGTTTTCATTTTCAGAAAGATTTTATTGAAAATGCTACAAAAGATAACGTTTATCGTTTCCATACTGATTTTTCTTCATCCAAGTGCTCAAGTGAATCTGAACTATCGACAGTGTTGGGTCTATATTCCTGGGGTGAGTGCAATGGCTTGCTCACAGATAAGCTTGCTTATCAGTACAATAGCAGTACCTCATCGGTACCTTATCAGCAAAAGCAAAGGTTCAATCCCTCTCCGGAAATCTTTTTCTTACCAATTCCTTTACTTTAGCACTAATGCTTCTGATTTTCAAGTAGGCCCACGGTTCTGAAAATCCTTCCTTTCTTTCTCTTCTTTCTTTTCTTCTTTCTTTTCTTCTTTCTTTTCTTCTTTCTTTTTTCCTTCTTTCTTTCCTTCTTTCTTTCCTTCTTTCTTTCCTTCTTTCTTTTCTTCTTTCTTTCCTTCTTTCTCTTGACAAGTTAAGTTATCGGATGGCTCAATAGTTAGAGCAATTGCCAAAAGCAAAGCAAATAGTCGAGATTTCAATCCCCAGAAATCTATTTTCTTGCCAATTTCTTACGTCACAGGATGATCAAAAATTTCCTGCACACTTTACAAAAGAAGCTCAATTTTTCAGCTAAAAACCAAATCGAAATTTGACTATATAGTATTTTGAAGCTGAATTTCTGGAGAACATTTCTACACTTAAACCATCCTGATCAGAGCCACCTAGCTCTCTAAAGAAGCGCTTGAGGAAAACTGTCATCGAGCTCACCTATTTGAATCTGTTTTCAATTGAAAAAGCCAATTTCCACTTAATATTCCAGATTTCTCAAGGACCTATGATCATCAATTGCACAAATGGAGACAATATTTGTGTGCGAATTTCTGGCGGTGACAACTTAAACAATCCATCCTTTGTGGCAAAGGGATGCTCGCAGGGTTGGTGCAATGGAAAGGTTAGTGTACATTTACAGAATTATTTTTTAAAGAGGTTTTTTTCGAATTAGCCCAACATTCACACAAAGGCACAATCATTTTGGATTGGATAAATGTTTTAGAACATGTCCATCGACTATACATTACAAAGTGCTGACGGATTATCGACAATGAGTTGTTGTGACACGGATTTGTGTAATTCGGTGAGTTAAATTTTTAAAAAAACGATTCTTTTTAAAGCAAAAGACTTCTTTTCAGACACCACAGTTTGCCTTTCCGTTTTTGTCGATCGTTTTGATCAGCTTTATCAAGAATTTTCTTTAACAATTTTCACACCGTTTTCGTCTTCTTGACACCAGAAATTTTTCTCATTTCAAGACATTTTTTTATGCTCATAACTCTCCCAGGGGAATTCATTGTGTTTCAATGATTTATTTTTCTTCTATTAGGTTGATGCATAAGTCTTTTCCTTTTTTTCGTACTTCTGTTAAAAAGTAACAAATTCACCAATTAATCTATAGTTTGCTCTATAAAAAAAAGTGTTTTTTTGTTCAATTTGCATCTTTTTAAATCAATTTCGGTTCACTTTCAAGCAAATTCGAGAGTGAAAAACGCCTTTTTCGTAAAAATCTATAAAAAACTCTACGGAAAAATTGGCTGAATGAATTTCTCTGAAATTTTGGCGAAATATCAAACTTTTTTTTCTCTATCTTTTATCTATTGACACGAAGATAGGTTTTCTTTAGCTAAGGTGTCTAAACCGCTCAGGCTCAGGCTCAGGCTTAGGCTGAGGCTTAGCCTGAGCCTGAGCCTGAGTCTGAGCCTAAACCGCATCATCGAGTTAGCCCTTTTTGACTACCCGACTTCATACTCTCAAGAAAATCCAGGCATAAAATATTTTTAAACCCGTTTTAATGTTATTTTGCAGAAAAATAATTGGTTTTTCTAATGAAATCAACCGTAGTTTAATTGGTGCATTTGTTGGCTTGAAACGGCAGACGGAAAAGGAACAAAAACACTTATGCATCAACCTAATAATTTTCAGACACTATGAATTTTGTGATTGACTATTCTAAATCTGTAAATTCTTTTCTTAAGTTCCATTTCTATTTCTAAAGGACTTAATCATTGCTGAAACTTTCATTGCTTAAAATTGCTGAAACTTATGTTTTTGATTTCGAATCCTACTATAAATTTTATCGTATTTACTCCATAAAACTTGATACTAGATTCTAAAGTGTTTAAAGCACATGTTGAACTTTTTTTTTCATTGAGATTTCTCAATTTTTATTCAGTCTCTGGATGAACTAACAAAAATAGCACTTCTTTTCTAAAAATGGACTCTTTTTAACGTCAGTAGACCGATAAAAAGTTTTTCTGACATTTAAAACACCCGAAAAATTACCAAAAAAAACTTCTGTGTTAAAGCAAAAACTTTAAAAAAGCAAAAGAGAAGTAAAAGAGTTAGGGAGAGATTGGACCCGGGATTAACAGCTTCAAAGTCCAGCGCACTGTCCTCTGGGCCACTTGCTTGCTAAACGTCAAGGAAGGACTCATAAGTGCGTGGCCTGATTAGAGATTTTCGAGTAGATTCCCAAATTAGCGCCAACTTTGAGTGCTTGTTTCTCGACCAATTTTGAATTTGGGTAAAAAATAAAAACAAGATTATGATCTCCATATCAAAAAGTTATTTTATAACCGGGTCTCGCCAAAAATTACCACCTTATATCACCAAAAATTATCACAAAAATTATACTAAGTGTATCTTTTTGGAAATTTGGCTATAAGCCTAATTTTTGATTCTCTACAACTTTTCTATTGACACCAAAATGGGTTTCTTTCGAAGAAAGTGCTCAAACTGGAACATCCCTCGATTTTTGAGTCTCACACTTGTCTCACACACAAACCAAAATCCTACTACGAAAGAGGAATCCGCAAATTGCAAAATGCCTGTAAAATGGGCAGAAGTCGTCAATAATAATGGAAATTATTTGGAATGAATTCATGGTTTAATGTTTAATAAATTTCAGTTCAAAGCCATTTCTGGATCGAATTGTAACTAGTGATGAAAAATGGGTCCTCTACGATAACCGAAAACGCAAAGCCAAATGGCTAGATAGAGGACAACCACCAAACCCCTTTCCGAAGCCCGACCTACACCCAAAGAAGCTTCTTCTCAGTGTTTGGTGGTCACGGAAAGGTCTGATCCATTATTCAATTCTACCAAACGGAAAAATGATGAATTCTGATCAGTATATTCACAAAATAAACGAAATGTATGAAAAACTTCGAAAGGATCGATCCAGCTCTAGTAAATCGGAAGGGTCCCATCCTATTGCAAGACAACGCCCGCCCGCCTTGTTCACTGAAGACTCTTCAAAAATTGAACGAGCTGCACATTGAAGTCCTGCCTCATGCTCTATATTCTTCTGATCTGTCGCCTACGGATTTCCACTTTTTCAAGTTCCTCAATCACTTCTGATCGGAGAAATGCTTTGCCACTCAAGGGCACGTGGAAAATGGCATCAATGAGTTTATCGATTCAATGGAGCCCGCCTTCTACACTTTAGGAACTGAAAACTTAGCCAAACGTTGGCAATCATGTATAGATTTTACTGGTTTTTACTTTGATTAAATTGCTTTTGAAATAAAAATTTTATGAACGTTTGAACTTTAGTGAAAAAATACGACATTAATTTTTTCCGTACTTGTAAATTGAGATGATCAAATTTTAAAAATGAAACAAATTATGGGTAATTTCTTTTGAGATTATCAGGACTGTTTTAAAAAAAAAGCTAAAATTTAAACCGTTATCCTTTTTATCTGCTCTCATTAACTGATAACTATTCGTTAATCGTTATCAGTAGATAAATTTGCATTTTTTTATATAACAGTAATCTCAAAATTTCATCAGCCATTCGAAAAATAAAAAAAAACGATTTCACGCATTTTCTTCACAGAAAAGAGAACTTTATTTTCTATTTCTGTGCTTGTTTCGAGGAAAAAAACGAGTTAACTTTTTCCTGAAAGTCAACAAAAAGAAAACTATTCACACCATATTTACTTGCCCTTTTTCTATTCAAAAATTCAAGTCACATGTTTTCTATGAGAGATGTTAACTAACTAGTCAACGAAATAAACTCCTCAGTATTCTGGTTTCTGTAAAAGACGACCGTAACGATGCATATGGATTGCCCGTACAATCAGACTCTGGATCAACGACTAGATTACTCAGAGGTTTTCTCAAGCTTTTCTTTAGGTATTTGCTTCTTTTAGAACAGAATCGATGATGAAACATTTTTGCATTTCCATGGTTATTTGATGGGCTCATTTGCGATTCTCGCCTTTGTTTTTACGCTGATTTTTATTGGTAAGCTCATTCTAAGCTATCCCCTTTAACAAATTCGCGACCAGGCGTTTTTTTTTGCGTCACTGCCCCAGTGGACGATAAAGCTCGCAAAGCTGGGTGTCTCGCAATGCTGGGTGTCTCGCAATGCTGGGTGTCTCGCAATGCTGGGTGTCTCGCAAAGCTGGGTGTCTCGCAATGCTGGGTGTCTCGCAAAGCTGGGTGTCTCGCAAAGCTGGGTGTCTCGCAATGCTGGGTGTCTGGCAAAGCTGGATGTCTCGTAAAGCTATTAGCCCCGAAATACACCTCCAATATGTAAAATTTCATGCTGAATCCGAATCTCTAATCAGATTTTGAAAATATTGCTGCCTCAAAAAGATATCGGCTCTTTTTCGCTCGTGAGACAAAACGCCTCATTTCTCTTTCTTCAAGCGCAACCTTATAGTTCTTGATTAGAACTAATCGAATCTTTTTACATTTTGAAATTATCTTAAAAAGTTGAAAAGTTATAGGGAATCAAAAATTTTGTTTTTTTAAACTTTTTAAATTAAAAGTAAGAAAAAGAACGAGATAAAACAATAATAAACAAAACAGGATTCGCTTCATAATTTTGAGACACCCTGTATATGACTATAGTACTATAAAGTACATATGAAAAAAGTCTTCGCACTTTCAGCCACAACATTTCGAGCAATGCGTCTTCATCGTGGCTCTCGAAAATACCGTGCCCTTTTGTTAAATCGAGCAATCGGCGATTTAATCGGTGCCTCTTCAGTCACCGCTTCAGCCATTCTCACCGTTATCTCACCGTCTGCAAAGTGAGTCTTTAGTAGGTGAAAACAAAAAGTGACAATGCTGTTTAGCCGTGATGCCGTTGCTCTGATCGGATGCTTTTTCTATTCAACTTTTTGGAGTGCCTTTATCTCGTACACGAGTCTCTCGTTGCTTAAAGTTTGTTCATTGTTTTGTTCATTGTTCACTAATTGGTTATTTCAGCTCTACGCTGTGTTGCGACCTTTCTCATATCGTAAAGTGTTCACTTTCCGTAAATGCATCTACATTATTGCTGCTTGGTAAGTGGAAATAAATTCAGATTATTTCACTTTAATCATTTGGAAAAGTGTAACAATTGGAACGTTATTAGAGAACTTTTTTTTATTGTTTGATTATATTTATCTTTTTTGTTTATTTATTATCTTAAAATTGGTTTTAAGATTTCATTTTTAGTTTCAAATATAATAATGAAGGCTTCTTCGTACCGAGCAACAGTTATTCAGCTTGGTAGAAGTGGATAGACGACTTCCCAAATTGCCAAGGCGCTCAAGATTGGACAAGATACCGTTCATCGTATCTTAAAACGTGGGAAAGTCAATGAGCTTTCTTAGAGTTATTGACCGTATACGGCCAAAGAAAAACCTCGACAAACGATTGGAATGGAATCCAGCAAGGAGCATGAGAAAATTGGCCAACGATTTTGAAGTATCCGATTGAACAATTCGAAATGTGGTCAAAGAAAGCAAGCAGAATTTCCCCGATTTCTGATCGCCCAGGATGTGGTGGTAAAGCGACCGTTGTCACCAAGGCTATTATCAAGAAGGTTTCAAAATCAGCCACGCTTGAAAGCCACTCGTTTGCAGGCCAGTATGGCAAAGAATATGGAAATTTCCTGAACTTCTATGGGCCCTTCTATGGGCCCAGCAAAAATCGTCTTGAAATGAAAGCTTATAAGTTTTCCAAAAGCCAATTTGTTACATCAACCAGCAAAAAGAAAAGCGAGGATCGTTCAAGCCAACTTTTACTTCGCTTCAATGGTATCGATCATCGGAAAATTCTCTTTACCGATGAAAAAAAGGAGAGCAAAGAAGCCCGGACCTCAACCGTCTCGATTATTCGACATGGAGTGTATTAGAAGCAAAAGCATACTCGAAACCCTATCCGACAGTCGATTCTTTGAAGAAAGCTCTTCAGAAAGCTTGGAAAGAGCTGGACAGACCCTACCTTTACGCCACCATATCGCTACCGTGGACACGCCCCACCTTATCGCCACCTTATCGCCACCTTATCGCCACCTTATCGCCACCTTATCGCCACCTTATCGCCACCTTATCGCCTCCGTGGACATGCCCTACCTTTACGCCACCGTAAACGCGTTCCCAAAACGCCTCCAGGCCTGTGTTGCCGCGAAGGGAGATCTTTTTGAAAAAAGGTAACTTTTTATGTGAAATTATTGTATTAAAACAAATTTTTGTTGTTTTAGTGTCATTTTAATGTAAGGTGATCTTTAAATCTTCAAGTCCTTTCGTCCTCGTAATCCTGGACAACCCTGTAGTTGTCTATCTTCACACTTTGATGGATCATGCAATGCCCTGGGCTCAAGCACAAACCAGCTTTGAACTTTAATGCAAGACAAAGCTCACAGTGGGAAAAGAAAGCGGAAAGAACCCAAGAATGTCGCCATTTAAATCTTCTCGACTGATACACGGCGATGAATGGTGTTCAAAGTCACCTAAAGGGAACGTGATGGAGTTGTGTAAGGCATATTGGAGAAACAAGCCTTCAAAAAAAACACAACAACATCGAAAGTCTGAATAAGGCTCTTCAAAAGGCCTGGAAACAAATTCCACAAAACCCGAAGAGAATTCGAGCTGTCATTAAGAATAAAGGAGAATATCGAATGATTTTTGTTTTTTTTTAGTTGATCTTTTTCATTGTTACATACTAGAAGTTCAATAAAATTTAAGCGATCACTAAAGTTTTTTCGAGGTTGTTAGGTGTTTCCATGTTTACCTCGAGTCCTGTAAACCGTTCAAAGCCTCCGTTTAGTATAGTGGTCATTGTCAACCTAATAAAGGTCATTGTCAACCTAATAAAGCTCATTGTCAAGTTTAATTAGAGAGGCATAATTAAGCAAATTTGGAAGGTTTTTCAAAATGAATGAGTTGAAAAAAAAAAAATGAGAAAACGAAAGGTCAAAAAGTCGAAAATAATTCCTCTTTTAGTTGGATCATTTTCATTGCTTGCATCTCGATTTGTGCTGGAGTGGTGACCGTTCACTTACAAGTCCACTGGTTTACGGACCACATGCATGGGTAAAGTGTTTTCCTTATCGTTAGGCTTCAATCGAGATTTCACTATCGTAGTTAGAGTGCTTTCCTCTCAGTTAATGCGTTTTCTAAAATGTGCGCTTAAAAAGTCGTAGATTCGGCGTAAATTTTACATTCAAAATTTTAAATACAATATTTTATTCGGAAAGCTTTGTTCAAATTTATCGGAGTGTACTTTGCGCCAAATTTTTGCCAAACCTTGGGGATGAGACAAATGCGACCTTTTTTTTGCGCACCTGGACATTTGCGCACCTGAACATTTGCGCACTTGGACATTTGCGCACCTGGACATTTGCACACCTTTTTTTTGCTGGAAAAGGCCTTAGGCAAGGCCGTAGAGCTTCGAAAATATTTCCATGTAGGGGAATCGTATGCGTAGATTCCGAATTTCGACAAATCAGACCTCGCTGACACGTCAAATTTGGGCAAAAAGGCAAAAACTGCGAAAAAGCGTTAAGTTGCGTAGTTTTTGCCTTTTAGCCCAAATTTGACGTTTCAGCGAGGTCTGATTTGTCGAAATTCGGAATCTAAGCATACGATTCCCGTCTATGAAAACATTTTTGAAGCTCTACGACCTTTCCTAAGACCTTTTCCAGCCAAAAAAAGGTGCGCAAATGTTCAGGTGCGCAAAAAAAGAGGTCGCATTTGTCCCACCCCCCAAATCTTGCTTTAAATGTCAGAGTTCGATTTCTTTTAGCTTTGCCTTTTTAGCAATTACGTTTTTTTTTTCTTTTCTTGAAAAGGAATTAATTTCAGTAATTTTTTTAAAAGTTTGAAAATTTACAGAAAAAAAAAATGTAAAAAGTTTTAGAGAAAAAAATGTCCTAGTTATTTATTTTTTTTTGTTTCACATGTTGTTACTGATTTCTGTTGCTCGGAGTGCAGAGTTAATTTAAAAATGAATGTTATTTGATAGAAAACTACCGTAAATACTGTAATAGTACCCCCCTCCCCTAATGACGGTGCGGAGTGTTGTTGCGTAGTCTAGCTTTGAACGAGTTTTTCTCGACACTGGTTTATGCTACAATGCGTGTTTAGGTATCAAAAAATAGCCCTGAATTTCAGCTACTGATAGCCACTACCTACAGCTACTGTAATAGTACCCCACCACCCCTCGTACAGTCGCGTAGTCGCAAAAGTTCTTTAGTATTTCAAAAGTATTTCATTTTTCTCAAAGCGCCCGTACTTTCAAAAGATGCGTCTTTGGTATCAAAAAATAGCTGAAATTCAGGGCTATTTTTTGATATCTAAACGCGCATTGTAGCATAAACCAGTGTCGAGAAAAACTCGTTCAAAGCTAGACTACGCAACACTCCGCACCGTCATTATGGGGATGGGGTAGTATTTACGGTATTTACCTGTTACTTTTCTCTTTTCAAACCCATTGACTTACTTCCTTTAATTTTTTTTCAGCGTCAGCATAACGTTACTAATCTAACAAAAAAAAAAGCGCATCTCAAAATTTGATCTGAACACTGAGAAAACCTCGACACTTTCTTTATATATATACCGTAAATACTGTAATAGTACCCCCCTAGTACAGTCGCGTAGTCGCAAAAGTTTTTTAGTATTTCATTGTTTTTCAAAGCGCCCGTACTTCCAAAAAATGCGTCTTTGGTATCAAAAAATAGCTGAAATTCAGGGCTATTTTTTGATATCTAAACGCGCATTGTAGCATAAACCAGTGTCGAGAAAAACTCGTTCAAAGCTAGACTACGCAACAACACTCCGCACCGTCATTAGGGGAGGGGGGTACTATTACAGTATTTACGGTAAGTTAAAAGAAAAGAAGTAGAAAAAAAAAGAATGAAAAAAGAATTAATCATAAAAAAGATTTCCAAGGACGCCGTTACTTGTAACAATATGTACTCGAAAAAATTTGAATAAATCAATTTGTTTAACCGTCGATTCGCGACGATTCGACTAAAGAAAACAATTATGCAGATTTGTTTTTGTTTGATTATTTGATTTGGTTAATCGTTTAACGGGCAGGAAAACACTCTATGCATGGGTGAAATAGCAATATCACCAAAGCAAATCCCAAATACCAAAACTATCGATTTTCTCGTTGTAGTGCTTGGAAAGGATGTAAAAGAATGCTAAAATTAGCAATTTTCTAGATTTCGATACTTCTTCTCGACATTCACTTGTTTTGACTACACTTTTACTATCGTCATTTTCATCGTCACTGGTTTGTTGTTTAGATTTGCTGATAAATGGAAAAGACAATAATAAACCATAAATTTTTAGTGATCGTTTTAAAGAAAGTTGAGATGAATGAGAAAAATGCAATGAATAATACTCGAGGAGAGTTTCGTAGATCAGATGGAGGCACGAGATTTGGAAAAACAGGGTGAGTGAATGGCTATACTGTAGTTTTAACAGAGTTTGTCTACGTGGATCTTTTAAATAATAGTTGATAGTTGTCTTCAACGAACTTTAGAAGAGGAACTTCTCATTTAGAGTTGGGAGTTGAAAAAAAAAAAGCTTAAACACAGTTAGCTTAAACAAAACTTAAAACCAAAGCTTAAGCAGACATAGGGCTTAATGAGGGGTAAAGATTGTAGTTACTGACAATAAACCACAACCACATTGAGCTCTTGTGTTTTTTAAATGCTAAATGACACTAATTTCTACAAAAGTTACTAATTTTAGCATTATTTTACATCCTTTCCAAGCGCTACAAGATAAACTAAAGTTCAGGGTGTAAAGAAAATAATGCGCGCTTCGAATTTCCCGGTTCTGGCAATTTGCCAAGTGTTTGCTTACGAATGTTTTAAACAAAAATAAACTATACACTAGATTTATAATCACTTCTTTTTACGCTAATGGTTTTTACTGCAAAAAAATGGATGACAAGAAGCTCGTGCTTCTGCCATGCTCTACGATTTCAAACAAGAAAAAATCCCCTGCTGAATCTCACCGTTCACTTGTCAAAGCTGTCCGATAGGGTCAAAGGGCCAAAGATCATGCTCTGTTTATGGTGGAATTTGAAAGGATTATGATTATAAAGTGCTAAAACCTAGACAAACAGTCGATGCAGATCTTTACTCGAAACAACTAGTGAGAGTTAACGAAGCTTTAATTACTGCTAAAAGCCCGAGGCGGATCTAGGAACTTTTGTGGGTCAGGTCTGTAGCCAGGCTTGACCCTGCCCGGAAACAAGTTGATTGATTTGGTCTCCTCTTTGATTGATTTGGTTTCCTTCGTTTCGAGCTCTTTACGCTTCGGGAATTAGCAAAATTTTTTGACGTTAGCCATGTGACAATTGAAAACCATTTGCATCAACTTGGGGAAAAGGTTCAACATGGAAAATGCTCCAAAATGGTTTCTACATGAGCTGATTGAAGGTAAGAAAAATAGCTCGTATCACCGTGTGCTCCATCTTGCTTCAAAAGTGCAAATCACACGATGTGCTCAAATAGTTTTGATTAAAAAACGCGAATTATTGGGTTAATGAATTGAAAACTGCGGGACTTTGAACTAAAATTTATTCAACATAAAACCATGAATTCATTCCAAATAATTTCCATTATTATTGACGACTTCTGCCCATTTTACAGGCAATTTGCGGATTCCTCTTTCGTAGTAGGATTTTGGTTTATGTGTGAGACAAGTGTGAGACTCAAAAATGGAGGACTGGGGATGTCACAGTCTGAGCACTTTCTTCAAAAGAAACCCATTTTGGTGTCAATGGAAAAGTTGCAGAGAATCAAAAATGAAGCTTATATCCAAATTTCCAAAAAGATACACTTAGTAGTTTCGCTTAAAATGCAAGTTTTGTGAAAATTCGTAAATTTCGCATTTCTTGAAAACCAGTTATTGAATCGTTCTCAAAAAGACGAAAAAAACTCTTCGCAAACAAAAAATCACATTAATTCAGGTTTCCGCTTTGGAAATTGGCGCTAAATGTGTCCACTTTTGTCGTTTTTCAGGCTCCGCTCGTTATTTGGTTGGTTCTCTAGACCAAAAAGAGTTTAAAATCTCCTATATTGTGCATTTTTTACATACTGTATCTTTGCTACGTAAAAAATCCCTTTATCAAACATGTTTTGATTGATGTTTACACTAAAATCCGTTTCTTTTTCACGCTCAACTATACAAACATTCTAGAAACTTCATTTATTTTTTAGGAATATCTATTTATTCACTGTAACGGGATGTTTCTCACTGTTTCACTATGCTGAAATGATGAAAACACAAGGTTTGCAAAAAAACGTTGAAATAGGGTAGATCTAGAGAATTCTAGCTTTTGTTGGTGGCACGATTCTTCTGAGAATGATCACCGATTTCATTATTTCTTTCATCACAGATTATCAGGTTAAAATTATCAACTTAAACTTCAAAAAAACTTGTCTCAGCTTCGAAAAGTGTTTCTCGATTGGATCAGTGCTATTCGGAGTCGTTTCCGATCGTACCGCAGCAGTGATCTTTCCGCCGTTTCAGGTGAACCAGCAAAGCCCTTGTGTTGTATGATTTTTTTTAGATTCTCACAAGAAATTCACCACTAAACCGTCAACTTATTGAACAAAAGCAATGAACTTTATGTAAATAAAATTTAAAAGTAAATAAAATGAAGGCTCAGGCTTAGGCTCAAGCTTAGGCTCAAGCATAGAGCAGGAACAATTGTCTGTACTTGTCTGAATTTGAAAAAACACAAGAAAAGGGGATTTATGCTGAGAGATGAAAAGAGTATTTGAAAAAAAACAACAACAAAAAAAAAAAAAAAAAGACACTGAGTGAATTTTAGGTCAAAAAGAAAAAAGGGGGGGAGAAGGCGAAAAAAAAAAAAAAAAAACCAAAAAAAAAAAAAAAATGGGAAAGGAAAAAAAGATTTTTTTCAATTGTAAAAGTTGAGGAGGGCTGGCAGGGCAGCCAGGAGGAAAAACTTGGAAACACATAGAAAACACAAATATATACATAGGAAAATACAAAATTATGTGCATATGTTTCTAGAAAGCTTTGGTTTTTCCTCATGAATTCCCTTCGTAAGCAAAGCAATCCAAAACGAAATCCGTCTGAAATCTTCTTCAATCTTTGCTCTTTGAGTCTTTTTCAACTTTGAATCAAATTCCTTGGTAACATTTTGTTTTCACAAAAGCTATTTTGTTTAAAACATTGGGCCACCGGAGCCGTTCAGTGGGCCACCGAGGACCGCGTGAGCCACCGATGACCGCATGGACCACCGATGACCGCATGGGCCACCGTTGACCGCATAGGACCACTGGTGACCGGTGGCCGCATGGGCCACCGGTGACCGCATAGGCCACCGGTGACCGCATAGGCCACCCTGAGTGGACTGCCGCCTGGGACGTTGATTAACTGATTAATTTGATAAAGATAGAGATTTAGGGTTTTCAAAGATGGAGAATTCAAATTTTGAAACAGTTTTGAATATAAAATTGATTGGATAGGTCAAAACTCAACCTCTATTATTGAAAACACTGATTTGTAAATTTTCGTAAGAATTCCTAGCACAAGATGCCCTCGTCCCACACGATTGTATGGTATAAAAGGGTTTTTTCGCCAATCGCCAATGATAACAAGTTGTCTCTCTTTTTCACTCACCACTCCATCGAAACTCCATTGACCAGCACTGTTGCAAACAAATGGTCGGTAGGTGCTATGGGAAGTGGTGTCGTTGAAGCCAGACTAAAGGTTTTCATGAATCTTGAACTTTTTTCGAAATTAAATTGACAGTCATAAAGTAAACATTTCAACATTCAACTAACCGGGTTTACATTTAGGTAAATGTAGCTGTAAAGTTGATCGCCGTATCCTGGCCCAGTCCACAACATGAAACCGGCCTAGATTCGAGTTTAACTATGATGAATCAGCCAAATAAAGCATCACTTTTCAAAAATAATTCGAATTTCTTCAAATTCAACCCACATGCGTATATGGAGCATCAACTTTACAAAACCAATCAGCGACCAAACAATTGTTATTGGTTGAGTCAATTCTAAAACAAAAAATCGTTTAATAAAACCAATGTGAAACAAAAATGATCATAAAGAAACTCTTTAACTTTTTCTTTTAACTTAATTTGTGCCTTTTCTATGAAAGGCCGCAACACAGCGTAGAGCTGAAATAATCAATTAGTGACCGCAACAATGAGGTCAACTGGCTGAGGTCGCCAAATCTAATGAGACCTAGACCAATCGACGCAGAATTTCACGTTGATTCCGAATCTGCTTTCCGTTTCTGCTGAACGTTATTCTGGCAGAAGTTACGCGGCAGAAGCGCCTAACGCTTTGTTAGGAGCAGTGGTCATTTGGGTCTTAGCGGCTTCCCTGCGGGCCTGCTTCAGTTTTTTAGTATAACGCTTTTGGAGGTCTCTGCCGTCAACGGAGAGCTCGAATGTGCTTCCTTCCGCCGGCCAAAACAACTAAACTAACTTGTTCAATTTTGTATTTATCTTTGTATGTCTAATGTTCTTGTTAACGTTGAGTTTTTTCTTGGCTTGTTGTTTAAAGGATGAAAAACTCACAAAATGAACGACGAAATTCGTTGTTTCTTCATCTCGTTTTTTCATTTTACGAATGATATACATTCTAACCGCTGTATAACTTCATCAATTTGGGCAGCCACGCGGTGCCAACTGCGACTTCTTAGTATTATTATATTCCATTGCATTATAAATTATTTTGTATTTATTATATTGCAAGTTATATTCCAAATTCAAAATCGCTCATTTTTCTGTCTACGAGTGATCGAATTCACTTCAATTCGTTATTTTTGATCTCTGTTTTTCATTTTTGTTGATCGAACTTACTGTTTCAATTTTCAGTGGTATGGAGATGTCAACTCGTCTTTGTTTCATCCGGGGTCTTGATTCATTGGAAGTGTATGCCAACGTTTTGGAGGTCGTCCATCAAGAAAAAGCATTGCGTTTTGCTTATCCAGACAATTCGGATGGTCGCAAATTTACGGTGAAAATGGATAAGAACGTCCACGTTTTTCTACCAGAAATGACACTTGAGGTATATTTGATTTACTTTTAACCTTTTTGAGAAATTGTTATAGGCTTGAGCATTCTTTAATGTACTAAAATAACGTAAGCAGATGAAACACACTTTTTTGTTCATATATTGAATGTATCTATGATACTAGATCTATAAGGCTAATTATGTTTATTTAATCTGTGTACTTTTAGTATCAAAGCGAAGGCGTTTGGCTTCGTACTGAGGTGGTCGGTTTCTGTGCTGAATTCATCGACATGGTGAAATTTGCTGCCTTTCTCACAAAATTGTCCAATATTGCCGGTTATCAGCAGGTTTAACTTTATTTTTGTCTAATAAAGATATTTATTAGTTTTTGTGTTAACTAGGTTTAAAAAAAAATAGCATGACTAATGCATAAAAAGGAATGTTTAGTTGGTTGTATCAGATGGCGATTCATCCCAAGAAATGGAAGAAGACGAAGACGATTCGCAAAGTGATCAATCGGATGAATACATGTTAGTTGTATTATTTTTGCTTGGAATAAAATTTTGCTTGCATGATTTATCAAAATTGAGTAGGCTTGCTTGCCTGATATAGCTTGATTTGATCCAAATTTCTATTGTTTTTCGTATATTATTCATGGCATATATGAGTAATGGATTATTTTTAGCTCGATGAATCCTGAATACAGCATCTTGAAAGACTACACTGCAATGGCTGTGACTCCTCAGCATATTGAGCTGGTTGTCGCGGGACAGGCACATCGTTTTGGACATGGACCTCTGGTTCCTCGTCCGCTTCCGCGTCCTCTTCCGCGTGGTCGTGGTCGTGCCGGTGCTCAAGGGGCTCCAGGCTATGAATACAGAAAGGCTCCAACACAGCCTAAGGACAAATGGATGGCCTACGTCATCCCAGGCGTGATTCTACAGGTTAATCCTTTTATATACTTCATATATAGTTATTTTATTTTCAGGCCTTGGCAAACCAACAATACGTGGATGTCTTTGAGGTCGACCTATATATTGAATTCGACGACGGTGATCTTCAGAGCGACTTCGAAACGGCTCTCAAGGCGAACAACTATTTTGCCAAGAAATAATCGTTCTTGTTATGTTATCCAATAAAAATGTTATTTACTTTTCTATAATTTTGATTGAAAAATTTGTTTTGCACAAATTATTTGGATACTGTACATACGCTTTTTTTTCCTATTATTCGATTATTTTAGATGTCCACGCGCATTTCGTTTCGTCTCGACTACACAAGCATTCGGTCACTTCGCCGGGGATTTATCTTCAACTATCAACGACACCTATATCGTTTTGAGCACGGGCCGATCAGACGACGTAAATTCCTTATGAGGGAGCAAACCACCGCAGGAGGCCTACTATTACGTTTAACATTCTTTTTAACTTCGGGAGTTTATTCCTGAAAAATCAACTAATAATAAACCAAAATGATAAGTTTACCTCCGAGTCAGAAGTGTTCGCGAAATGTTCTATTTCTGTCAGTTCTTTTAGTGCCGCCTATGATAACCGGTTGATGTTCTTCAAAATACACTAACTTGACTTGACGACAGTTCTTGAACTTTTCTTGGACGCTTGGGAGGCGAAGCACCTTCTTTTTCGACATTATTGTTAGTCTGAAAAACATAGATATGTAAACAAAATATAACTCTGAACCTGAAGAGGTTCAGAAGCCGATTCCCAAGTCACTTGTGCCGATTTTCTTTTTGAATTTGCAACTACAGACATCACTTTCTTCGGATTCTCTAAATTAACTTATTAAACATGTTAGTTGTGGGACGATACGAAACCTTTAGGAGAATCGTCATCCTTCGAAAGTTTTTGTTGAGCTGCTCGCAACCGTGCCGAGCGACGTCTTGTTTCCATACTAAATCATTTATTTACGCAACTTGATAATAAAAGTGAAACACAAGACCCGGAATTACGAATTAAATTTAAAATAAAAGTAGAGATCGTAAAAAAATACAAAATTATAACGACACATATAGCAGCACAATTTATTGGAGTCGCTGTCGAACATTGCACAATTTCGCCACGAGGCCAGAGAGTTGGGTGATCGTAGCAAGTCCATCGATAACTCGCAAGTGAGCCTCGGCAGTCTCCTTTACAAATTCCATTTTTAGATATTGTGGAGTCTCGGCGGCTTTGCAAACACGGAAAAGATTCGAAATAATGTCATCGGGTGAATATCCAAGCTTGTAAAGATCGTGAATGATAGAGGCAGCTAGAAGAAGTCGGCCTTCAACACAATAGTTTAACATTTCAAGCATCAGTTGAGGATGAGGTTCATCGCAAACCTTGAAAACGTTTTCCGCATTCACATTTCCATAACCAGAGACCGTGCACTGTAAGTTGTTCAGCGCTTGTCTCATATCGCCTTGCGCTGTGAAGAGAATTGCAGCCAATCCCTCATCATTGTAGGAAACATGTTCTGCCTGGCAAACGTCTTGAAGCCTCATCAGCATTTGAGCATCAGTCAACTTCGAGTAGCGAATGATTGCGCACCGTGATTGAATGGGCTCAATAATCTTCTCGGATTGGTTGCAAGCAAGAGCAAAACGGGTAGTCTTGCTGTAGATTTCCATGATTCGACGAAGTGCTTGCTGAGCCCCCTCCGTCATCGAGTCGGCTTCGTCAAGGATGATGATTTTATGCTTTCCATGCGACAGTGTGACTTTGGTCTGGGCGAATCCTTTGATTTTGTTGCGCACGACTTCAATTCCTCGATCATCCGATGCGTTGAGCTCCAAGCAAGCCTCTTTGAGCTTTGGGCCGAGCATTTCCCGAGCCATGGCTCAAATCGCTGTCGTTTTCCCGCAACCTGGTGGTCCAGAAATGACGATATGGGGCACGTTTCCCTCAACAGCAAAGACTTTGAGACGTTGAACTGTCGACTCATTTCCAACCACGTCAGCCAGCGTTTGAGGCCGGTATTTCTCAACCCACGGTAGACCAAAGTCGTCCATTCTGTTAACTAAATTACGAAATGCTGAACAATCACAAAATTTTATCGTCACCAAACGCAGCCCTGGGACGACCTATCGATTTTGTAAAGTGTAGTCAGTACAATGTTGTGCAAACTTGAGATTTTAATAAAATAAATGTAAAAATTATTTATTTCACCGAACTGCTTTGACATAGTTGAATTTTAAAATGATAAATATTAAATTTAACAGCAATTTGAAAATTCTTATGGCGCCAACGATCCCTCGAAACGATTCCCAAATCGTAGTCGTCATCAGGACTAAAAACAAAGAACATTATATGTAGGCAAATAAAATCAGTATAATTTTTCAAGCAAACTTACAGATTTGCATCAGCAGCCTCCTTGAGATCTCGCTCGTATTGTTGAATCATGTCTGGGTCCATTTGAACCTAAATCAATAACGATTAATTCAATATTCAACAAAGAAATCAGGTAGAGACAAAGAAACCTCTGCAATACTTACCTCTGGTGGAGCAAGCGCGGGCATTGCAACAAACTCGAGGTTTGGATCTCCAAGAAGCTTTCTTGCAAGCCACAAGAAAGGTTTCTCAAAGTTGTAGTTGGACTTGGCTGAGATGTCGTAATACTGGAGGTTCTTCTTGCGATGGAAGGTGATCGTCTTTGCTTTAACCTAAACTTTTCAATTTACCACAACACAAACATGATTTAAACAGTCCAATATCCACAGGCAACTGACTTTTCGGTCTTTCATATCGACCTTGTTGCCAGCAAGCACAATTGGAATGTTTTCACAGACTCGAACAAGATCCCGATGCCAATTTTGAACGTTCTTATAGGTCACACGAGCCGTCACATCGAAAGCGATTATTGCGCATTGACCTAAAAAAGAATTTAGACAGTCATAAAGGTGTTACTTTTACCTTGAATGTAATAGCCATCAGGAGTCCACCAAACTTCCCTTGTCCAGCAGTGTCCCAAACGTTGAAGCGAATTCGTCCTCGGTTCGGGGGCTTCCAATGTGCTTCCTTCCGCCGGCCAAAACAACTAAACTAACTTGTTCAATTTTGTATTTATCTTTGTATGTTCTTGTTAACGTTCTTGTTTTTCTTGGCTTGTGGTTTAAAGGATGAAAAACTCAGAAAATGAACGATAGTCGCTGTATAACTTCTATCAATTTGGGCAGCCACGCGGTGCCAGCTGCAACTTCTTTGTATTCCATTCGATTATATATTATTTTATATTGATTATATATTATATTGCAAGTTATATTCCAAATTCAAAATCGCTCATATTTTTGTCTATGAGTGATCGAATTCACTTCAATTCGATATTTTTGATCTCCCTTTTTATTTTTTTTGATCGAAATTACTGTTTCAATTTTCAGTGGTATGGAGATGTCAACTCGAATTTCTTTCTTCCGGGGTGTTGATTCATTGGAAGTGCATGCCAACGTTTTGGAGGTCGTCCATCAAGAAAAAACATTGCGTTTTGCTTATCCAGACAATTCGGATGGTCGCAAATTTGCGGTGAAAATGGATAAGAACGTCCGCGTTTTTCTACCAGAAATGACACTTGAGGTATATTTGATTGACTTTTAACCATTTTGAGAAATTGTTATAGGCTTGAGCATTCTTTAATGTACTAAAATAACGTAAGCAGATGAAACACACTTTTTTGTTCATATATTGAATGTATCTATGATACTAGATCTATAAGGCTAATTATGTTTATTTAATCTGTGTACTTTTAGTATCAAAGCGAAGGCGTTTGGCTTCGTACTGAGGTGGTCGGTTTCTGTGCTGAATTCATCGACATGGTGAAATTTGCTGCCTTTCTCACAAAATTGTCCAATATTGCCGGTTATCAGCAGGTTTAACTTTATTTTTGTCTAATAAAGATATTTATTAGTTTTTGTGTTAACTAGGTTTTAAAAAAAATAGCATGACTAATGCATAAAAAGGAATGTTTAGTTGGTTGTATCAGATGGCGATTCATCCCAAGAAATGGAAGAAGACGAAGACGATTCGCAAAGTGATCAATCGGATGAATACATGTTAGTTGTATTGTTTTTGCTTGGAATAAAATTTTGCTTGCATGATTTATCAAAATTGAGTAGGCTTGCTTGCCTGATATAGCTTGATTTGATCCAAATTTCTATTGTTTTTCGTATATTATTCATGGCATATATGAGTAATGGATTATTTTTAGCTCGATGAATCCTGAATACAGCATCTTGAAAGACTACACTGCAATGGCTGTGACTCCTCAGCATATCGAGCTGGTTGTCGCCGGAAAGACACTGCGTTTTGCACACGGACCTCTGGTTCCTCGTCCGCTTCCGCGTCCTCTTCCGCATGGTCGTGGTCGTGGTGCTGGTGCCGGTGCTCAAGGGGCTCCAGGCTATGAATACAGAAAGGCTCGAACACAGCCTAAGGACAAATGGATGGCCTACGTCATCCCAGGCGTGATTCTACAGGTTAATCCTTTTGTATACTTCATATATAGTTATTTTATTTTCAGGACTTGGCAAACCAACAATACGTGGATGTCTTTGAGGTCGACCTATATATTGAATTCGACAACGGTGATCTTCACAGCGACTTACTACTGGCTCTCAAGGCGAACAACTATTTTGCCAAGAAATAATCGTTCTTGTTATGTTATCCAATAAAAATGTTATTTACTTTTCTACAATTTTGATTGAAAAATTTGTTTTGCACAAATTATTTGGATACTGTACATACGCTTTTTTTTCCTATTATTCGATTATTTTAGATGTCCACGCGCATTTCGTTTCGTCTCGACTACACAAGCATTCGGTCACTTCGCGGGGGATTTATCTTCAACTATCAACGACACCTATATCGTTTTGAGCACGGGCCGATCAGACGACGTAAATTCCTTATGAGGGAGCAAACCACCGCAGGAGGCCCAGACCGTCTCCCGAAGCTTCCTCCAACAAAGTGCGGAAGGGTGCTTGCTTATCTTCCTTGTTATAAGACGCAAAGTTTGGGTGTGTTTTTGTCCGCTCACCACCCCATAACTCGAGTCTCAATTCGAATTAAGCTATGTGTTGGCCCAAATCGTCTAATAGTGAATTTTTGATCATTGATCGTTTCAAGAGCTGGCTCAGCTGGCTCAGCAGCAGGCTCAGCTGGCTCAGCAGCAGGCTCAGCTGGCTCAGCAGCAGGCTCAGCTGGCTCAGCAGCAGGCTCAGCTGGCTCAGCAGCGGGCTCAGCTGGCTTAGCAGTAGGCTCAGCTGGCTCAGCAGCAGGCTCAGCTGGCTCAGCAAAGGTTTTCAGATGCCGCGCGGCGAAGTGAACATGATGATCGGCGTGGAGACGATGAGTCTTCAAGATTGTTATCTCCTGGATCCAAAGGTATTTCTTATTGTTGCTAAATAAATTCGAAAATGTGGCTCCAGTTTGAGGGAAGTCTCGGCGCTCAGTGGTTTATTGAGGGTCTCATGTCGACACTCGCGTCAATCTTTTCGCCTGGTCTCGATTCGACTCTTTGTTTTCTTTTTCATCATTACCTTGTCGAGATCCCGCATAGCAATATTATGTGAGTTTCAACGTATCACATAATCTCGAAAATCAAGAGACAAAACGCTCAAGTCAATCACTTAAGTCAAGCCTTGTTCCTCTCTAAGCTTATCTGTTAGAGGCAATAAAATGAATAGCTCCAATCGATTCACCGTCTCTCAAAACCCCCGGACAAATTTACAGCTGAATCTTTTTTCTATACAATTTACAAAGCAAGTCCAGACAGGTTGGGCAAAAACAATTGATATTTAGCTCACAAAGACTTTGGTCACTTTTACGGAAGCAGCTATGTCCCGACGGTTCAAGAACCCCGGTTGGTCAATAATCTAACTAAACATAATGAACCTAATGTCAGTCACTTTCTCGAACCGAAGATGGAGTGTTGATCACCGAAGTCGATCTAAATCAATGTAGACAAGTCAAAGATCACTGGGGATTCAGAGTAAATCCTTAATGAAAACCTATACCAAAAATACATTCTAGATGACCCAACGTCTGGCCTTATACGCTCGTTCATTCGCCGAAACCGCCAAATGCGACTACAAGCCGCAAATCATTCGTGATTTGTAAAAATGTGATAAGAAAATGTATTAGACCAATAAATTACCATAAAATCAACACAACAAGCGAAAAGTCATAAAAGTAACAAATGTACTGGATTGATGCATCTGAAATAGCTAAATTTTCCGAATCATCCACCACATTTCAAGAGTTCTTTAGTTCTTTTATGGGGGTGGGGCAATTACGACCTTTTTTGGCGCAACGCAAGCTGAACTGACTAGTGTTTGAGAAGCTTCTCCATTATTCCATGTCAAATCAAAAGCTGTACCGCTGTTTTGAGCTTAAGGTTACAGTCTTCAACTCCAACCAAGCAGAATTTAGATGGATGCTCGGGTGAAAAGGTTTGCATGGTATAGCCATTTCATATGCATTGATCCAATACAAAACAACAATGATAAATGACTAGGTACTGTAATTTAAAATGAAACAACCAAAAAGTAAAATTCACGGCTTTAAATCATTCTTCCATTTGATCACCCTCTTCTTCCTCTCCTCCTCCTCCTAGGGTCCACCACGATGTACAGCCAAGATCTGTTTCTGACGTCGAACTAATGATCTACAAATCAACAACAATTCAAGTTGCAACTGGGTACTTAGGAACTTACTTCGAACGACTTTTGCTTTTTCGCTTCCTCGTCGCTCAAATCTGGTTTAACATCACTAAAATTCAAATCAACAAGACAATTTCCTTAACACTTACTTAAAAATGTTTTCCACCACTCTAAATCGTACGTCTTTTCCTGGATCCAGGTGTAGTTTCGCCGGTGGCTCATCGTCCTCTTGTTGATATTCCCAATACCATAACTAAACAAAACATAATATGCAAATAAAAGCTAGTTGAATGCGTCGAAAGCTACCTGTTCGTTTTCTTCAAATATGTGAGGGGATGGCAAACCGTGCGCAGGAATAAAGATATCTTCAAAGAAATTCACCGATAGAGTTCACCCAACTAAAGCTTATTTTTTGCAGAGCAACAACATCTCAAAGATTTACTTTCGAAGAAGCGATGACTTTGGCCTCGATGATTTCCTCGACAAATGGCCGAAATACAATGAAACGGAACTAAAAACAACGTTTTACGCAAGTGATACCATATAATACTTTCACTTTGATGTGCCCGCGTCCATCTCCAGGTAAAAGATACGTGTCCCCAATTTCGATCAAATCGAAGAGACAAATGCACAAACCAAAATCGATGACCACCTTGTTGGCAAAGCGTTTGTTCAGCTTTAGCGTTATCTCCTAAAGTTCATAAAATTACAGGGAATCGGCGCACAATACACTTAAGTAAAACATCACTAGTGTTTACCATCAAATTTACGCACCACTCACTTTCCCAATTGCTTCGATTTCTACAAGCAATGTAAATAGCGAAACTTACACTCTTTAAATCATTCTTTAGCTGATGTGGAAGAATGGAGACGATATCCCGCATCTCTACTATATATAAAAAAATTTCCTCTGTCCGTCCGTCCGTCACGCTTCGGCCTCGGCCCCCGCTGAATCGATTTTGCTGATTTTTTCACAGTAAATATAAATAGCGGAAAGAAGGTGAAAATGATAAAAATTTATACGAAACTCTTGAATTTTAGTACTTTTTTAGACTATTTACGCTTTTACCCGAAATCGGAGTGCAGAATCGCGCAGAGTGCTTCATTTTTAATTTTCTTTTCAGATTTCGATTCCTCACAAAAAAGTAGGGGATACGTAAAAAATTTTCAGAATAGGTTATCTGGATGGAAAATCAGATTTTTGGACATTATAACTGTTGCACACCACCACTGCGCCCACTGTTCTGCTGGTTTCCGATAAAACAAACATCTAAATACTACAATTTACAACAATGCTTGTTTAGCAACTCATTTTGATAATGAAAAGCTGAAACCAATATTTTGATCTCTGTACGCAATCGAGAAACATTTATTTAACAAAGTTACTATCAAGCAACAGAGTTAAGATTTTTAAACAGAAAAGTTTAGGTGTAAGTAAAACAAGGCAATGACAATGACGAGATCGGTTAGCATTAAAATTTAAGATAAAACTTCCAATCAAAATATTTTACACAATGCAATATTTTTGATATCTATTTCTTGCCAATACGTCATTGCCGCTCGCTTGGTAGATAAGGACAAGATTGTGTGCGGCGAAGTGCCGTAGATCATACCTAAAATACCCATAAATTGTTTTGTCGAGATAAACGTACTTGTCCAAACATTCCAAATGCTCATTTCCGTCTTCATCATAAGTTACAATCACCGGCGACGGTTCTGCTAATGCCTGAAAAAAAGAATAATGAAACAAATTTAAAAACTTTCACCAATTTGTAGAAATGGATCGCCAACGGTGTGATGCTCAGCTGATGGAGCACCCTTCCGAATTTGTAAGAAACTTCTTGTCGCACGGTTCGCATTTTCTCGTAACGTTTTACAAAGGCCAATCCCTAAACGCATAAATAATTTTCCACTATAATTAAAAACATACCCTCAATGCAACCATATGTCTGCTACTCAAATCTTTCTTGCAGGACCTATGAATAAATGCTAGGCCAATCAAGAAACAAATCAAGGCATTATTCCTATTGTCCGACCAGACTTTGAAATATACACCTGAAATACATATATTTTAAAGCACAATTGGCACACTTACATAATGCATGCCTATATGTTCCAGCGATAAGAGGATTGTTTCCGCTCATTATTTGTAAAGCATGATTTCCCGAAGATTTTACCAAAGAACGCATGATATACCTAATAGCAAAAATTTTAGAATCAAAACGTCCACATGTGAAGAGTTCAACTCCAAGACTTTCTCGTAAGCTTCCATTGCTTTTTGATTTAATTCCAGTTGCTAGAGGAAACTATCTTTTCTCAAGGGTAAACCTTACCATCAACGCATTTCCAAGCAAAAACCATAGATTGGCACAATGGGTAAACTGACCGAGATCTAACAATTGCTCGAGAAACCTATAAATTTGATAAAGACAACCAAATGATTACGACAAACCTTCTTGCTGCTGGATGCGCGGTAATTTGAGCATAAGCTCTGGCAATGTCCAATGTTAATTCTTCGGCTTCTCGAGTGTTGAATGATCGCCGTAGTAAAAATGGAATGACCTCCCAAACGAGATTTGATTTAAAACCTTACTTAAAAGTTACCTGTGCTAAATTTTTATTGTTGCTTTTGATCAAGCAGACGCACAAGCGATAAAGTATATTCATCGACACCGAGTCTTCAATCTAAAACATCAAATAACGTTAGTATAAAATAAATATTGTACTTCAAAATATGTCGAAGCTGGAGGCGGATAAGGCTCAATGGCAAACGTCGCGTTTTTGAAAGTTACCTAGAAAAATAATCTTGAATTATAAAAAACCTAAAAATTCTTTTCCAAAATCCTAACCAACCGTAACTGCCGGTGACACATCGGGGTTTTTCGCCTTGATTCGATCAGAGCACAAAGCCAATATCGATTTGGAAGCTTCGCCGAATTTATCCTTTGACATCCACATTTCTAAACAAAATACTAGCCAAATTTGAAATCCAACACAACTTATCAATGTTTCATGTTGAGATTCGGCTTCTCGGGCAAATAGTTTACTCCTCAAAACATATGACTCAAGCGCTTGAATGGCTTTATCCTCATCATTGATGCTAATGTAATATTCAGCAACCTAAAGTATATGTAGTCCATATAAAAATATAAATAATACCGTCTTGATTAATTTCGAAAAACACTCGAAATCGACGTTGGCTGTTGAATGGTTAATCATTTGAGCTGCTTGAAGACGGGTTTTCATCGATAAGGACCGCATGCCTAAATTAAGGATTAAAAACAAAACACTACGAGCTCACCGAGCATGTCCAGTGTGGGGATCCTCTTTTCGTAATGTTTCCAGTTGTTCGGTTCAAGTCGAATAGCTAAAAGTTTTTTGATGCAATCAATTTCCACAATCCACTTCTTACCCCTTCCATAACATGCAGCTGACTCCTTGGGCTTCTCTAATCGACTCGATAGGTCTCCGAGATGAGACTACAGGAAAAATTTGCTTGGCCAAGCAAAGAATCGTCTAGAATCAAAGTAAATCAAAATGTTTACTGATTTTCAAACGCTTATTAATGAAACAAAACAATCAAACTTATCGAGGCCCCATCACTTCCTCCCATTCTTCACTCTGCAATGAAGTTAGCATCAACAATTTCTACTATGCGAGCTTTCAGTTTGATGATTGCAATGATGATTGATGATGAATTGCAAGCTAGCCAACGACAACCCTTCTATGCCGCGACCTTGCATTTACTGTCTGTTTTTTTGGATATTCACTCAACCTACAAAACCGATTCTTTATTTAAGTTTTTCATGAACATTTTCATTTCCCAATCGGCCCCTCTCTTGTTTACTTGATTTTGTTTTTGCTTTCAGAAAATTACCATATGCGATTTTAAATGTTAATTTTCAGAAGCATGTGTTAGCCAGATTACTCAAAAGCTGCTTCGCGAATAGGTTTAATCTCTTCAACGTCTTTAAAAGGTGGGTAGCGTCTTTTCTGTTTTTAATGCTTTCGTCGTACTAATAGTTGAAGTTTGAGGATCACCCAATTTTTAAAATAAATTTTATATGCTTGCCAAAAACCATTAGTGAACGAAGTAACGGAAAAAATATCACAGATCAAAGGATTGCAAACAAATATACAGGGTGAGCAGAAAGTTCTGGCAAAATTTTTGTTGCTCCACTTTTAGCGCAAGCGATTGTATTAATGATCTGATTCATGTTTTTTCTTTTTTTCGCATTGGTCTTTAACGAAGCCTTTTCAAAAATTTGCTTTTTAGATGGCCAGATCGCGGGATTTTCGTCCATCAATTGAATGACTCGCCCAAGAGGGCCGACGACCTAAAGCTATCGCGCAGAGCTTGAGTATTCCTCTGCGAACCGTCTACAATTGTCTTGGCCGAATTTGCAAAACGGGATCGGCAAACGATGCTCCAAGATCTGGACGTCCAAAAACAGCATCAACTTCGGCGGTCGTTAAGAGAATCCGGGAGAAGATCCGAAGGAATCCGAATCGGTCGATGAGGCAGCTGGCCAAAGAGGAAAACGTTGGAAGAGAATCGATGCGGCTAATTGCACGGAAAAAGTTGGGAAATTATCCGTATAAGATCCAAAAGGCACATGGGCATGAAATCGACTCGAATCACCCGATGCAAAGAGCTGCTGAAGCGTTTCCCAACTGCGGCACGCGCCTCGTCCTCTTTACCGATGAGTGTTTGTTCACTGTCGAGCAGTTCGTGAACCACCAAAATGATCGTATTCTTGCAGGAAACATGCAACAAGCATCACAGAATGGTAGGATTTCATCTCGGACAGCTCATCCCCAAGCAATCATGGTTTTTGGAGCGATCACCGGTGATGGGAAGATGCCACTGGTTTTCATCGATCAGGGTGTGAAAGTGAACAACCAAAATTATCTGGATGATGTTTTGAAGAAGAAAGTGCTTCATTGGGCAAATTCTCACTTCAACGGCCGCAATTGGACCTACCAGCAGGACTCTGCCCCCGCACACAAGGCTCGGATCGTCCAGGGGTGGTGCCAGGCCAACTTTCCGGACTTCATCTCCTTAGCAGCATGGCCCCCAAACAGCCCGGATCTCAACCCTCTCGACTACTCCATATGGTCCATTATGAAGAGCAAGGCCTGTGCTACTCGCCACCCAAATTTGGCCTCACTTCGACGCGCTCTCGAGAAAGCCTGGGCCGATCTTGATCCAGACCATGTGCGTGCCGCGGTTGAAGCCTTCCCCAAGCGTCTCAAGGCCTGCATCAAAGAAAAAGGAGGAATCTTTGAAATCTGAATTGTGATCCTTATTTGTTATTATATCGTTAATAAATAGTTAAAATTTCAGTCCATTAGCTTACTTCTAACTGGGTTTATGCCAGCATCTCTCTTTGCCAGAACTTTCTGGTCACCCTGTAAATCAACAAAAAAAGTTCAACTACATCTCACGATAGTTTGCAGTCAGTAGAGTCTGTAGAAATACTTGCTGACGATTCCAACGTCCAAATTCCATATCCAAGTCGATTTCACTTCCATCCACCAGAGATTCACCATAAAATATAAAGTTAGATCAGAATCAATGAAATTAAAAGTCAATCAACACCACAATTAAAGCCTATTTAGTCATGTGTAATCTCAGTATTGAAAATTATCATCTGTTTATGTGATTAATTAGGCATGTAATCACTTATTCAACTTCTATATTATAAAAAGTTATTAATGGTCATTACCCGCAAGGTCAGGCCCTTTACAAGCACCCTTCCGCACTTTGTTGGAGGAAGCTTCGGGAGACGGGCTGGGCCTCCTGCGGTGGTTTGCTCCCTCATAAGGAATTTACGTCGTCTGATCGGCCCGTGCTCAAAACGATATAGGTGTCGTTGATAGTTGAAGATAAATCCCCGGCGAAGTGACCGAATGCTTGTGTAGTCGAGACGAAACGAAATGCGCGTGGACATCTAAAATAATCGAATAATAGGAAAAAAAAGCGTATGTACAGTATCCAAATAATTTGTGCAAAACAAATTTTTCAATCAAAATTATAGAAAAGTAAATAACATTTTTATTGGATAACATAACAAGAACGATTATTTCTTGGCAAAATAGTTGTTCGCGTCGAGAGCCATTCGGAAGCGGGTGTCAAGATCACCGTTGTCGAATTCAATATATAGGTCGACCTCAAAGACATCCACGTATTGTTGGTTTGCCAAGTCCTGAAAATAAAATAACTATATATGAAGTATATAAAAGGATTAACCTGTAGAATCACGCCTGGGATGACGTAGGCCATCCATTTGTCCTTAGGCTGTGTTGGAGCCTTTCTGTATTCATAGCCTGGAGCCCCTTGAGCACCGGCACGACCACGACCACGCGGAAGAGGACGCGGAAGCGGACGAGGAACCAGAGGTCCATGTCCAAAACGATGTGCCTGTCCGGCGACAACCAGCTCAATATACTGTGGAGTCACAGCCATTGCCGTGTAGTCTTTCAAGACGGCGAATTCAGGATACATCGAGCTAAAAATAATCCATTACTCCTATATGCCATGAATAATATACGAAAAACAATAGAAATTTGGATCAAATCAAGCTATATCAGGCAAGCAAGCCTACTCAATTTTGATAAATCATGCAAGCAAAATTTTATTCCAAGCAAAAACAATACAACTAACATGTATTCATCCGATTGATCACTTTGCGAATCGTCTTCGTCTTCTTCCATTTCTTGGGATGAATCGCCATCTGATACAACCAACTAAACATTCCTTTTTATGCATTAGTCATGCTATTTTTTTTAAACCTAGTTAACACAAAAACTAATAAATATCTTTATTAGACAAAAATAAAGTTAAACCTGCTGATAACCGGCAATATTGGACAATTTTGTGAGAAAGGCAGCAAATTTCACCATGTCGATGAATTCAGCACAGAAACCGACCACCTCAGTACGAAGCCAAACGCCTTCGCTTTGATACTAAAAGTACACAGATTAAATAAACATAATTAGCCTTATAGATCTAGTATCATAGATACATTCAATATGAACAAAAAAGTGTGTTTCATCTGCTTACGTTATTTTAGTACATTAAAGAATGCTCAAGCCTATAACAATTTCTCAAAATGGTTAAAAGTCAATCAAATATACCTCAAGTGTCATTTCTGGTAGAAAAACGCGGACGTTCTTATCCATTTTCACCGCAAATTTGCGACCATCCGAATTGTCTGGATAAGCAAAACGCAATGTTTTTTCTTGATGGACGACCTCCAAAACGTTGGCATGCACTTCCAATGAATCAACACCCCGGAAGAAAGAAATTCGAGTTGACATCTCCATACCACTGAAAATTGAAACAGTAATTTCGATCAAAAAAAATAAAAAGGGAGATCAAAAATAACGAATTGAAGTGAATTCGATCACTCATAGACAAAAATATGAGCGATTTTGAATTTGGAATATAACTTGCAATATAATATATAATCAATATAAAATAATATATAATCGAATGTGATACAAAGAAGTTGCAGCTGGCACCGCGTGGCTGCCCAAATTGATAGAAGTTATACAGCGACTATCGTTCATTTTCTGAGTTTTTCATCCTTTAAACCACAAGCCAAGAAAAACAAGAACGTTAACAAGAACATACAAAGATAAATACAAAATTGAACAAGTTAGTTTAGTTGTTTTGGCCGGCGGAAGGAAGCACATTGGAAGCCCCTTTTACGCGTTGACGGCAGAGCTCTTGATCGTTGAGCGACATGAGCAGCTCCGCGTTTTCGATCTCCAGCTTCAAATTCCAATTCAATCCTTCGTGTACTCTTACTTTAACGCATCGCATTTGTGAGCCAACACGCAACGAATCGGTTTAAATGATAAAAATCATTCCGATTAGAATGCAGGTTGCTTTACGGATGAAAAGCAAAACAAACAAACGCTACTTGAGTAGTATGTACATGTTTTACAATCCACCCGTGCACACAAACGTCCGATGCGCGGCTTCAGCTCTCCCACAAGCGGGTCGCTTAGGCCTACGCCTAGCAATGTACTTGAATATGTCGCCATAACATAATCCTCGGCGTACAATTGCTAGGGACACGTAATCATCCCACGATCGTCCATCCTTAGCCGAAGTGATCTTTCCATAGGCAGCAAAAAGCTTGTTCGTCCCTCGCCTCGTCGTCAAGGTTCTTCATGTAAAGGTTGACTCCTTGGCAGCGCTGCATTGTATCAATCTTGAATTGCTCGTATAGTGCTCGATGTTTCAATTCGGCTGCGCGTTCGCTTCTCTTCTGGGCACGACACACCGTCAGCTTTTGCTCGGCTTCACCCCCGTCAATGATGGTGCCATCGAGTCCCTCAACAGCCTAAAGTTAAAGATTAATGCTCGTAATTAATAAGCTAATATGTTAATGCTAATAAAAAAATACCTTAAGGGCGTCATTCGATCTCTCGAACTAGACGAAGCCAAAACCATTGGACTTGTCTTCAGCGTCCAGCATCACCACGCAGCTTTCGATTGGTCCGAACTTCTCGAATAGTTTCTGGAGCCCCTCGTTGTCGAGATTGGAGCCAGTTCTTGTTCTTGACGAAGACGCTGAACGCTTCGAGAAGAAGTACGTGGCCACGCTTGGAGTTGAGGTTCATCGACTCGTCTTTCACACGAACCGAGGACAAATTCGCTTCAACGTTTGGGACACTGCTGGACAAGGGAAGTTTGGTGGACTCCTGATGGCTATTACATTCAAGGTAAAAGTAACACCTTTATGACTGCAAAAAAAAATGGATGACAAGAAGCTCGTGCTTATGCCATGCTCTACAATTTCAAACAAGGAAAAATCCCTGCTGAATCTCACCGTTCACTTGTCAAAGCTTTTGGAGATGATTGTATCAGTAAAAGTGAGTGTTGTCGATCGATCGAGACTGCAATGAAAGCCTCGACGAAGAGCTTTTTAGAAATCTCAAATGACGATTTGCTCAATGCTATTGAAATTGATCCCACATTTAGCAGAATTAGCAGAATTTTTCGACGTTATCCATATGACAATTGAAAACCATTTGCATCAACTTGGGGAAAAGGTTCAACATGGAAAATGCTCGAAAATGGTTCCACATGAGCTGATTCAAGGTAGATAAATAGGGACTTTTGTGGGTCAGGTCTGTAGCCAGGCTTGACCCTGCCCGGAAACAAATTGCTCCTCTATGATTGATTTGGTTTCCTTCGTTTCGAGCTCTTTTGTTATCATTTATCTGTTGTTACGCTTCGGGAATCAGCTTTTTCGACGTTATCCATATGAAAATTGAAAACCATTTGCATCAACTTGGGGAAAGCGTTCGACATGGAAAATGCTCCAAAATAGTTCCAAATGAGCTGATCGAACATAAAAAAAATAGCTCGTATCACCGTGTACTCCATCTTGCTTCAAATCATACGATGTGACCAAATAGTTTTGATCAAAAAACGCGAATTATTTTTTCTACACCCTGATAATATTGGGTTGGTGAATTGAAAACTGCGGGCTATTGTCATATGTGAGAGTTTGAGCACTTTCTTCAAAAGAAACCCATTTTAGTGTCAATAGAAAATCTGTAGAGAATCAAAAATGAAGCTTATATCAAAATTTTCAGAAAGATTCAAAAACCGGTTTTCAAGAAATTTACGAATTTTCACAAAACTTGCATTTTAAGCGAAACTACTAAGTGTATCTTTTTGGAAATTTGGCCATAAGTCTGATTTTTGATTCTCTACAACTTTTCTATTGACACCAAAATGGGTTTCTTTTGAAGAAAGTTCTCAAACTGGGGTGACGGCTGACATCTCCAGTCCTCCATTTTTGAGTCTCACCCTTGTCTCACGCACAAAACAAAAGCCTACCACGAAAGAGAAATCCGCAAATTGCCTGTAAAATGGGTAGAAGTCGTCAATAATAATGGAAATTATTTGGAATGAATTGATGGTTTTATGTTGAATAAATTTTAGTTCAAAGTCCGGCAGTTTTCAATTCATCAACCCAATAAAATATTATTTCAGTTTTAGCGAATTTAGGTATGAAAATGATTAGATTAAAAAGATTTATGTAAAGAAAAAATTCAAAAGACGAAAAGAAACTCTTCGAAAACAAAAAAACATCAAATTAATTCAGGTTTCCGCTGTGGAAATTGGCACTAAATGTTTCCACTTTTGTCGTTTTTCAGGCTCCCCTCGTTATTTGGTTGGTTTTCTAGACGTAAAGAGTTTAAAATTTCTTAATTTATACTATTTTTTACATACTGTATCTTTCTTTCTATCTTTTCGACGTAAAAAATCTCTTTATCAAACATGTTTGTTTGATAAAGGGATTGTTTACACGAGAATCCGTTTCTTTTTCACGCTCAACTAAACAAACATTCTAGAAACTTTCATCTATTTTTAGGAATATCTATTTATTCACTGTAACTGGATGTTTCTCACTGTTTCACTATGCTGAAATGATGAAAACACAAGGTTTGCAAAAGAAATAGGGTAGATTTAGGAAAATTCTAGCTTTTGTTGGTGGCACGATTCTTCTGAGAATGATCACCGATTTCATTATTTCTTTCATCACAGACTATCAGGTTAAAATTATCAACTTAAACTTCAAAAAAACTTGTCTCAGCTTCGAAAAGTGTTTCTCGATTGGATCAATGCTATTCGGAATCGTTTCCGATCGTACCGCAGCAGTGATCTTTCCGCTGTTTCAGGTGAACAAGCAAAGCCTTTGTCTTTTATCATTTTTTTAGATTCTCACAAGAAATTCACCACTAAACCGTCAACTTCTTGAACAAAAGCAATGAACTTTATGTAAATAAAATTTTAAAGTAAATAAAATGAAGGCTCAGGCTCAGGCTTAGGCTTAGGCTTAGGCTTAAGCTCAAGCATAGAGCAGGAACAATTGTCTGTACTTTGTCTGTAATTTGATAAGCTTACACACTTATGATGATTATGATATTGATTTTATGATGATGTCAATTATGCTGATGTCCAAATCGTAGTTTTTGGTTGATTAAAGCAAAACTTGCAACCAATCGAACAGTTCAGTTTCTTTACTACTCGATTATTACAAAAGCTAGCAACTTGACATTTTGAGTTGAAGCTTTTAAGTTTCAATCTAAAGAAATAACTAGAAATAGCTCTTCTGGGCAAATGTTGAGATACAATGTAGTCTTGCGATTTCTCTTTCGATTGCATTTCAAGAATTTATTGTTTTGTTCAATTGTAATAACAGTTGAGCTCGAGATGATGGCTCAGGCTTAAGCTTAAGCTCAAGCATAGAGCAGGAAAAACTTGGAAACACATAGAAAACACAAATACATACATAGGAAAATACAAATTTATGTGCATATGTTTCTAGAAAGCTTTGGTTTTTCATCATGAATTCCCTTCGTAGGCAAAGCAATCCAAAACAAAATCCGTCTGAAATCTTCTTCAATCTTTGATCTTTGAGTCTTTTTCAACTTTAAATCAAATTTCTTGGTATCATTTTGTTTAACACATTGGGCCACAGTTCAGTGGGCCACCGGAATAATTCAGTGGGCCACCGATGACCACATGGGCCACTGGTGACCGCATGGGCCACTGATGACCGCGTGGGCCAGTGGTGACCGCATGGGTCACCGATGACCACATGGGCCACTGGTGACCGCGTGGGCCACCGGTGGCACCTGAGTGGACTGCTGTCTGGAACGTTGATTAACTGATTAAGTTGATAAAGGTGCTATTTAGGGTTTTCAAAGATGGAGAATTCAAATTTTGAGCCAGTTTTGAATATAACATTGATTGGATAGGTCAAAACTCAACCTCTATTATTGAAAACACTGATTTGTAAATTTTCGAAAGAATCCCTAGCACAGGACGCTCTCATCCCACACGATTGTATGGTATAAAAGGGTTTTTTCGCCAATCGCCAATTTGTTAACAAGTTGTCTCTCTTTTTCACTCACCACTCCATCGAAACTCCATTGACCAGCACTGTTGCAAACAAATGGTCGGTAGGTGCTATGGGAAGTGGTGTCGTTGAAGCCAGACTAAAGGTTTTCATGAATCTTGAACTTTTTTTCAAAATTCTATTGACAGTCATAAAGTAAACATTTCAAAATTCAACTAACCGGGTTTACATTTAGGTAAATGTAGCTGTAAAGTTGATCGCCGTAACCTGGCCCAGTCCACAACGTGAAACCGGCCTAAATTCAAGTTTAACGATGATGAATCAACCAAATAAAACATAACTTTTCAAAAATAATGCGAATTTCTTCAAATTCAACTCACATGCGTATATGGAGCATCAACTTTACAAAACCAATCAGCGACCAAACAGTTGTTATTGGTTGAGTCAATTCTAAAACAAAAAATCGTTTAATAAAAGCAATGTGAAACAAAAATGATCATAAAGAAACTCTTTAACTTTTTCTTTTAACTTAATTTGTGCCTTTTTTATGGGCCTTACCTATAGTTGAAAGCTGGTGTTCCCAACACGGGGAAATAGTACTCGTTGTAGTCACTCACATTGTAGTTACATTTTTGACAAGCTGAAAAGAGACATTTGTGGGGATATTGGCTTAAAAAGGTCAAGCAAAGCTATAGCAAAACTATAGCAAAACTATAACAAAGCTATTATCTTGTGCTACTATTTCATTCATAGAAAATTATCTCAATTGTCATATTAAAAAGGAGTTAAACCAGTTGACGAAGCTACAGCCAAGCTTTATCCCAAAGTTATCCCCAAACAACTGCCTGATTGTGCCTGATTTGTTAACGCTCAAGCGCTTTAAACTTTACCAGTAGCCGCTTGTGTTGTGATCTTCGTTGTCGTTGTTGCTTTTGTCGTTGTTGCCTTTGTCGTTGTTGTAGTCACTTTCGTTGTTGTCGTTGTCGCAGCAGTCACTTTGCTTGTCGTTGTTGGCCAAATCGCAGTGTTCGGTTGATTGAAGCACATCTTGCAAGCAATCGGACAATTCAATTGCTTTACTCCAGCCGAAATACTCGAGTTATCACAGAAATTCATATCTCTAATCCATTGCGGACAGCTGAAATGATTTTTTAGAGCAACAATTGTTTAAACAACTCACCCAGAACTGTCAACACATGGTTGCCGTGTAGGAGATGTTGGTTTAACAGTAGCTGAATTCGTTGGCGAGTCATACGTTGCACTTGTATAAGGAAATTGACTCATCTTTACGGTGGATGGGGTTGATGCTGGGACTGAAAGGAAAAGGAATGAAAGAATGAAAGAATGAAAGAATTCAGTGTCCACTCACCATATCTGTAGGTGAACGTATAGTTGCTTTGACTGAATCGATTGTTGAGGATCACTGGCATGATGTGACCTTCAGAAACAACAGTCGTGTTCACATCATCGAGACAACAATAGCTAAAAAAGAGCCTTTAAACGATTGAGTAAGCAATTCAAAGAAAAGCTTAGTATTTATCTCACTAGGGAACTGTTTCAATTAACCATTTTTGAAACCGGATCTGGCTCATGGTTTTCGAGAAAAATGTGTCCAAAGGTTTAGCAACTTCTCACCTATAAGAGGGCAGTACGCCGATGTGCAGTACGCCGGTGTGCAGCAAAAGCAACGAAGGTCTAGAGGATAGTGTGCTAGACTTAAGCCTAAGCCATGTTTGCTCACGGTTTCGATTCCGCATTTTTTTGCTTTTCTTTGAATTCTACGAACGCCTTTTATAGAAAGGTCCGCTTTCGAAAATCGGTGGTTAGTTGATACAATTCCTTAGTCAATTCTTTAGTCGACAAGGTGCTAGCTCAGAGCATTCACCCGGTAAGCAGTAGGTCAAGAGCTCAATTCCCTCTACTGCTTCCCGGTTTGATGATCGGTTTCTTCTCTTCACTTTCTTAGGCTTCATTTCAAGTTTTGCAAGTTCATTGCAGTTCATGGCTTGATTTGTGTCACTCACCGAATCCCAGTGTAGCGATGATCGCTGATCGCTTTCACTTCCATGCTCTTGAACGTACAACCAGCATTGCACTGTGGGCTGGTGAGTGCCTTGATGACCAATTCGACTTTGTTGCCGGCTGGAGCCTAAAAATATGAAAAACTAGAAGCTGTTTTTGAAAGTTCCTCACCTTGATCAAGAAATTGCAGCTGGTGAAGAGAGGAAGCAAAATCCCATCCCAGATGCCGACAGTTTGCGTTTGCGTTTGGAGAGTCGTCGTGGCTGTGAGTTCAGCTCCACAACCAGCTGGCTGAAAGAGAGAATTGATTTTTGTTTGAAAAGAAAAATGAACCCTATCCGAACAAGTGGCTCCACTCCATCCACTCGGGCAAATGCAAGTGTTGCAGTTTTTCGAATCTCGGAAACCGCCATTCAAACATGTGGCGCCGGTTGGACAAAACTCTATAAGAATACTAGAAATATAGTTATGAAATTTAAAAGCAGACATTCTCAAAGAGATTTTGAAGTAAAGGTTTCGAAAAAAGCAGAGTCAAAAAAAAGAGTTCTGTCCGGATATTGGTTGAAGAATTTGAAGTCAAAAATGCGATTTCTCCAAATTTTTTGCCAAATTTTCAGAAAGATTTCTCCAACCGTTTTCTCTAGATGACAGTCTATAGATTTTTAGTGGAAAAAAAATGGCCTTTTGTTGAGCTGAGGCGTGGTTTGAGTTCTTTTTTAAAATGTCATTTTGTAGAGAATTAGTTAGCCTTTCTACTGATATCATTCGACGAAGTCTACTAGAAGTTTTAGAAATGATTTTCGGCGCCACTTCATTCTCCCCAACCCAAAAATGGCTATAAATGGTTAAAAATTGCTGTAAATTGCTATAAATTTCGCTATAAATGTCTACAGATGATTGTAAATGGCTATAAATTCGGCTTTAAATGGTTATAAATGGTTCTAAATGGCTAAAATCTATGATAAATTTGGCTATAAATAGCTATAGATTGTTATAAATGGCTTTAAATGGCTATAAATGACTTTAAATGGCTATAAATTTGGCATTAAATTGTTATAAATTGTTATAAATTGTTATAAATTGTTATAAATGGTTCAAAATGGCTTTAAATTGCTATAAATTTGACTATAAATGACTCTGGAGTGGTCTTGAATGTAAATAAGATTCTATTCTTTAAAAAAAAACAAACGTTTGCACTGATAGTGCTCGTTCATCATCGAAACATCGTAGAAAGCCGGTTGACCGGAGCCCATGATATCTTGATATTGCACAACCTTTGAAATTGATTTTTTTAAAATAAATTAACCGCACTTACATTGGCGATCATCGTTTTGATTGTTTTATTCGTTTCGTCCACAGAAAAAGCCGTTTCACCGTATTGCATGATACTTCCAAAGTCGTATGGCATTCCGTAGTTGTAGTTGGTGTCCACGGTTTCCTGTATTTTGAGGGTTTCAAGTTTTCTCCATTCAAACCAAACCTCTTTATAATTGAACTGTTGACCGGTTTTTACGTTGGCCATGTTCACACTGACGGACGCGTTTCTGTCGTATCGGACTTGTTCGTGATTGAAGCCGAGTGCGTGGCCCAACTCGTGCACCGCGACACCAAACTTGAAATTCAAAGTTGTTTCAGTCAATTCTAGTTCTACGTCGTGAGCTAAATAGAAAAAACAACTAAAGGCACTTTTAGAGGCAAACTATCTACTACACAATGCCCTTAGAAGAGAAGTACCAATTGCCAGACGCTCAAAGAGAGGTTATAGAACAGACTAGGCTTTTCTCGCTCAACATCAATATGAGCTGGTGGTCTAGCGGATAGCCTGCTTGTTTACGAAGCGAGCTCGAGTTCGAGAACCAAATTTAGAGAGAGAACCCTTTTCCCTGCAATTCGGTTCCTTTTCTCTACAATTTAGTTCCTTTTCTCTACAATTCGGTTCCTTTTCTCTACAATTTGGTTCCTTTTCTCTACAATTTAGTTCCTTTTCTCTACAATTTAGTTCCTTTTCTCTACAATACGGTTCCTTTTCTCTACAATACGGTTCCTTTTCTCTACAATTTAGTTCCTTTTCTCTACAATACGGTTCCTTTTCTCTACAATTTGGTTCCTTTTCTCTACAATTCGGTTCATTTTCTCTACAATTCGGTTCCTTTTTGCTCCAGTTCGAGTCCTCGCCTTGCAAATATTTTTGCTTTATGAAGGTGCATTTGAATCATAGAGAGAATGATTTTCGGCTTCAATCTTGCCAAATATCTCGCACGACAGAGCAATTCGTGAAAAATAGAGAAGAGACTTGGATTTCCCGTGAAAATCTACATGATAAGTCTTATTCAGCTCTTTACTAAGTGAGTATTTGTGACGTTAACACTCACGTCATCACAGCCGTCATCTAGCGACAAAGACTGCTCGCCACCAATCATTCCAACATTTGAATTGCAGCCAATGCCTTTAAAGATGCGGACTCGATTTCTGCAATTTATATGCTTTCATTTTTGAGTCTTCAAACGAACGGAGCTGTCGCATTTTCCACAAAATTGATACAAGTCACGTTTCTCCAGAAATCGATCCCGAGTTTCGCGGCCGCTTTTTGTGAGTCGGGAAGCTGTGCATCGAAGTAATAATAGAATGTTGTGCCCCAAAGGTCAACTGGATAGGCGCCCGTGTAGTAAGCCTGAAAACCTGGAGGCTTAAACGGGGGAAAAAGCTTTTCAAAACCTGTCTTTTCTTTCTCGCCTCAACTTTTGGATCAGCCTCGTCGACGAATTTACCAAGCAGCACATCAACTTGCGCGCTAAACATAGCAACAGTAGGAAATAACAAGTATTTTATTGCTCCGAACACTGCCCATAGTCAGCAAAAGAAGTGACGGCTTAGGGGATAGTGTGCTAGACTCCGAAACTGACGCCGTCATTGCTCACGGGTTCAATTCCGCTTGCCGCCAAATTCTTTGCTTTTTTCTTAGAATTCTATGGAGGCTTTTTGTGGCTAGATCTGGTTTCGAAAGTCGGTGATAAGTTGAAAAAGTTCCCTAGTAAATTGGTTGATCGGATTCAAGTCGTGTCAAGTGATTTACTAACGATATTGTCATCTTTTCCCCATTTCTGCCAATTTTAATCTCTTTTTAAACCAAAATACAAGCAAAACTCACTCGGAAAGCTTCATATCACCGCCATACAACGAGCCAGCCACACCAGCCACCGAATTGATCTGCAAATTAGCAAATGCAAAAGAAATCTTTTAGCTTATTTTGATTTGGAGAATCTTTAGCTTAATTTTGGAAAAAGCTTAACTTTAGCTTAATTTTGAAACTAATTTTGAAACTTTTGAAACTTGAAACTAAAAGCATAAAACAAAGAAAGCATAAAACAAAACCTGATCGATGCTTTTTTGTTGATTTGAAGAGCGAACGTGTTTCTTGAGGTGCTGAAATGAGAGGTTTTTGCAAAAAGATTTAAGAAAGATTTAAACAACCAAAAACAAAGTAAAAAAAACCTTGCTCTTTTCTGCAAAATAAGCCCTTTCAGCATCGCTTTGCACTTTTCCATTCATTTCATCGTTCATTCGATCCAACGCCAACAAGAAGCGATCGACATTAGTTTTTTTGCCAAAAGACTGAAGAAATATTGTCGAAAAATAATGGCCTTATCTCTCGTTCAGTTTCTTTAAGACTTTCACTATTCTACTTAACAAAAAGAGCTTTTTAAAGAGCTTTTTAAGATGAAATACGACCTAAAAATCTTTAAGATATATAGAAATTGTTGAAATTTCCACAATCCACACTTTTTTTATTGAAGACAAAAGAAATTGAAAGTTTGAACCTGTTTGAATTTGTTGATCTGATCCTCGCTCAACTTTCCCCAATTGTGCTTGAACAACGGTAAACGATTCTTGATCCATCCCAATCCTGTCGAGTCGACAAATGAAACGGTAAAGACGCTCAAAAGAAACGAGAGGCAAACGAATTTCGTCGGCATCTAGAAAGAAAATCGGCGAGATTTGTGGTGACCACTTTATGAAATAGAAACTTTGGAAGACGGCTTGTGTAATCGACTAGTGCCGTCTCCAAGCTCGTAGCCAGGATCTGGCGTTAACTTCTCTCAGTCTAAACACCCGAGCTCCTCGTGGCTATTCCAAAAATCTCAAAAACTAAATGGACAACCGTTTTTCAACCGTTCCCCTTAGTCAAATTTCATCTACTTTCTGAGAATCATAAAGTTAGTTTTGTAAAAGAATTATTAATGCCTAAGAACTTGTTTGATCGAATGGGACCAAATGAAATGAAATCAAATCAAAATTCAATTCAAATCAAAAATGAGACAAATTTTGAGACAAAAGATGACCTTTCTATTCACTACCCTCTTTTCTGCGTTCACCAACAGCTCTAATTAGTAAAATTTTTGTCACTTAAGTGGTTATACAAGCCGTTTTACAAAGTGTTTCCAATTGAGAGTAAGGTTTCTTTTGGAGACGCTGGGAGAAATGTCAAGCTCATTACCGTAAATACTTTGATTAAAGGGAATTTTCTGATAGAAAGGCCACCTTGGAGGATATAGGGAAAAAGTAGAAGGAAATGTCTTTCAATTACGGTACAGTCGACCCTCGATTTAACGATTAGCTCGGAACCACAACGATTCTAAAACGTGCGTTAAATTTCTTTCGTAACTGGCCTCAAGGCTCAACGATTGCATTTGGCTTGGCAACTATGCAGAAAACAAAGGCGTGTTTTAGAATTTCAAAATCGTCATATCGAAAGTCGTTAAATCGAGAGGCGAGGGTATTTATGGGAGTAGATCTTTACTGACACTTTACTGACACTTTACTGACACTTGCAACTTGAAAACTTAAATAATCTTGAATCTTGAAGCTTGAATCTTGAAGAAAAAGGAAGCTTGAGCTAATGAAAGCTTTCAAAAGCTTCCAAAAGCTAATGAAAGCTTTCAAAAGCTTCCAAAAGCTAACGAAAGCTTTCAAAAGTATCGAAAACAACTCGAAAACAAGTCAACTGATCTTTCGAACTGATGGAATTTGATTTCAGCCATTGCTTATAAACGTTTCTCACTGACAGACGCTAATTCTAAAAAATTTCCACTTTTTTTTCGTTTTGTTAAGCTCTAAATGAAATATATGATGAAATAACTATACGAGATTTCATTATTTTAACTTTACACTTTCAAAATTCCATTTTTTCTAGTGTAGATATTGTCTTTTTTTCAGAATACTATACAATTATACATTTCCTCATTCATCGCTCACAACTCTTTGGTCAATCATTTTTCTATTGGTATTTTTTCTCTCTATTCATCGAGAAACGTTTCACAAAACTATTAAATGAATTTTTTTTTGCACGAAAATTTCCAGTGCTCACAAAGGAAAAAGCACTTTTCATTCTCTACTCGATTTTTTGATTCATTCTTTGATTTGTTTTTATTTAGAATTTCAAAAACAGCTTTTTCTTTCTGTTTAGCTTGACTCTATTTTTCGTAAAATGACTATACAACGCCATGAGGAAATTCCAAGCCGAACCTAATTCCACCGTCGTTTTCCTGGCTGATTTTTGGTCGATTGCTAGAAGTTGAACATTCCAGCTTGCAGACAAAATTTCAGAGCAATCGGTCAAAAAAAAAGGCCGAGAAAATGAAGGTGGGAATTAGGTTTGCGTTGGAATTTTCCCATCTCTATTATTCACTGTTCTTCCCCACATTCAACCGTGTTAACTAGCATTTGTTATCTAGTTTTTATATTGCTTCAATGTTTTTATATTGCTTAACTGTTACGGTCGGAAAACCGAATTTCGATAGATTGTGCCCAACTCTGGATACAGAGTGGCCGACGAAATTTGGCGCCAGGTTTTTGACTCGTAGCTGATGCCGGATCTTTGCCTGTTGTGCCTTTTTGCTGACTTTCTTGTCGCTATTAAGCGAGAAACGATGAATGAGATAAATTGTGCCCATAAACGTGCTAAACAAAAGATTGCATTTCGATATGAATTCTTTTTCTTTTCTATCTGCTAACTTTACTGTTTTATCTAGTTTAACCAACCAGTCAGAAAATCGGCGCTATTACCCCATAACACAATATTACCCTATTACTGTGTTTCTTTTCTCAAACATTTCCCTATGACAATCTACAGTAACTCTATAAGAAGATTCATCCAAATTCGAGATGAAGCATAGAAAAGTTCTAAAGAACAGAATTTTGGCGAAGAACTATAAGATCAAGGCATCAAACACCAAATAGCACTTTTGTTTTTGCGAAAAATGTTTACTTTGAAAGAAGTGAACCAAGTCTATCCAATTTTTTTTAGATTTTCAGATGTTTCCACATTCACCTGCCGACACTCTGGGTGTAGAGGAGGAAGGAGAAAACCTTTCGACAACTTCCCAAACAATCAAAATGTATGCCCCTACAATTGATGAGAAGAAATTGCTAAACTTTATCTATTCTATAGCTGGAACGGTTGCTCTGACCATTTGTCCATTCACCATTTTCATGCTTCTTTTACCCGTTCCCCCGTATCTGAAAGTGTTCCGGAGGATTCAGTTCGCTACTGTGGTGAGTGGGAAATGTGAAGCGATAATGGGTTTTTAAATCAGTTAATTCTATCATACCGAATTAAATCCTTCAACATTTTCAGATGAATGCCTTTCTTTTCGCGTCAACATTTTTTCATCCTTCGCCCAGTGCTCACCACGCCATTGGCACTTTACTCAATTTCCGGATGGAATCTCAGTCAGGAAGCGATTCTTTTTCTATTCGTATGTTCAAAAATATTCAAAATCTTCATTTAATTTGTTACTCGAATGACTTAATCAATTTATACCCAGCCAAGAAATTGCCTGCTATGAGAATCTAGCTTTACATCTTGCGTGACTGGCTCTGTCTGTATTTACTATTAGCCTAGATTGCTTAGTCTAAACTGTGCTGACTCATTCAGTTCATCTTTCACACTCACTTTCAGGTGGCAGCGGTAACAAGTGGAGGTTTCTTCGGGGTTTTCCTCCTTGTCGCCTATTTTCATCGCGCCGTCGTTTTGGCCCCTTTACCACAGAAAAGACCACTCACAACCTATTACACAGTTTGTCTTAAAAAAACCTCAAAATTTCGATTGTCTTTAGATTTTCACAGTCAGTTTTTGCCTGGTTGGGCTTTTAGTGATCGGGTATTTTATTTGGGATTTCTTTGTCCTATCTCGCTATCTCGACAATTCGGAGGTGAAATACTTTTATATCATTTAGCTAATAAAACATTTTAGTTCCAAGCAATCAAGAGCTTCAGCGCTGGCATTTTCTTGAGTGGCGGTTCATTTAGAATTATGGTTTATGGGGCAATAGCGCCGGTTTTCTGGCTATTATGGTTGGTTAGACTAGATAAAACGGTAAAGTTAGCAGATGGAAACGAGGAAGAATTCATATCGAAATCCAATCTTTTGTTTAGCACGTTTATGGGCACAATTTATCTCACACTTATTCAGGTCCAAAGCACTGGAAAATGTTCCTAGCTTTTGTCGCTAGCTTTTGCACTTAACTTTGAAAGTTTTCAAACTGTACAGCTTTAGGCTGCAATCCTCGGCGCAACTGTCATCGGTCCAGCTGTGGTCGTAACTGTAGGGATGGCTGAATGGTTTCCAGTAGCCGATATTGGTAAGTTCTGGCTGAACATAGGATATCGACGATATTATCTCATCTTTAGTCCTCTTCTACGGTTTCATTCCATTCACTTTTCCATCACCGGGCAATTGCGTGGCGCTACTTTGCACTTCGCACTACAGAAAAGTTTTGTACCGCTGGCGTACGGTAATTTAAAAGAAAGTTACTAAAAATCAAAAAATTCAGGATGGAAAAAAACCGTTGAATCGAGTGACGACTTTTTGGCGGAATGATGGTCGAAATCCGAGTATCATCGTTGAGGCAGCGGGTAGTTCGAGGAGAATAAGCAGCAAATCGGATATTGGAAATCGATAAATGGTTTATAAAAGATGAAAACTATTTCCTCATTGCCAATCAAGGACAACCCAACCGGGTTGTACAGGGTGCGGCGGGATTATTGCAACCGCCTCAGAGCATCGGCATCGATTAGATTTTCGTACTATGAGATCCTATTCTCAACATTCAACAGTGAAATTTCGACAGTGACTTCAACAGTGAAATTTCGTTTGCGTTTCTCTTTATGGATTTTAACACTGTGGATACTATTAACACCTCAATCTCTTCTGTTTTAAAGATATAATTATTGTGCTTTATTACGCGTTTTTTTTTTATTTCCAGTTGAAGAATTTTAATAAAAAAATCTTATAGATGCTAGACGACCTCACAATATCGACTTCGCATTTGTTGCTGTACGATTTCAAACATGAAAAAACAGCAACTGAATCGCATGAATCACTTTGTAACGTATTTGAGAAAGATGTTATCACTGTTCATCAATGTCAAAACTGGTTCAAAAGATTTCGAAAGGGTGACGGAAGTTGGAAAAATGGGGGGGGGGGGAAAAAAAAATATAAAAATATAATAAAAAAGGTTTAAAAAAAAATAAAAAATTTTTTATTTTTTTTTTTTTTTTTTTTTTTTTTAAAAAAAAAAAAAAATTATTTTTTTTTATTTTTTTTTTTTTAAATTTTTTTAAAAATTTTTTTTTTTATTTAATTTTTTTTAAAAAATTAAAAATTTTTTTTTTTTTTTTTTTTTTTTTTTTTTTTTTTTTTTTTTTTTTTTTTTTTTTTTTTTTTTTTTTTTTTTTTTTTTTTTTATTTTATTAATTTTTTAATTATAAGACAATGGCTCGACCCGGGAGAAATTCCAAAGCCAGTACCTAAACCAAATTTTCACGGAAAGAAAGTTATGCTGTCCGTTTCGTGAAATACCCGAGGCCTGGTTCATTTCGAAGTGTTAATTTCTGGTCAGACTGTTGATGCAAATCTTTACGTTCAACAGCTAGATCGCGCGGACGCGGTTCTTCGGTCAAAAGGAATTGATCC